AGTTTGCAGAAATACTTACTCGCGCAACTTCGAAGACGGCACAAGCTTGGAGAGTTGCGACGGAAACGGCAGTGCAGTGATGAGGCTTCTAGCAATCCCAAGTACTGAAGCAATCCCAGGTAGGGCAAGGAAAAAGCTCAAGGCTTCGACCATGGGCATCGTTGATTTACCAAGCTGCTTCAATGACTCGTAAGTAGCTGGGACGTTCTGTTAGCATTATTTCTGCCGGCATATCCAAGGCACCGCTCTCAACTTACGGCGCTTTCCAGACATGAGAGGTTCGCCGAAAGCAAGATCACCAATGATTTCCCAGAACATTGTCTCCAACGTGTGAGCGATGTCCACGGTACCGCCGCTCTTGGCAAGTGCTTCAAATTCGGACATGGTCATGTCAATATGCAGCTTCTGGATAGGTTCTTGCCTTGCAAGCGCCAGAGGTGTGAAGGCTTGTTGGATCACCTTGTGCAATTTCCTATGAAGTGCAGGGTCAGGTATGGTGATGAGGGTCGGAGCGTTCAATACAAGGTCCGAGAAGAGCGTCAAGAAGGTCCCATCCTTGGAAAAGCGACCATCCTCTTGTTTCGCGTAAATTGCTGTTTCCGCTTCAAGTGAAGCAAATGAGACTTCGTTGGGCCCGACTCGCACGACATGCCCTGAAAAAGACGAACCACGTCAGTCAAACAGCTTTGGTCGTTGATGCAGAGGGCCTTACCGTATTGTTGATGGAGAGCTTGCAGTTCCGAGTTGAACCGCATGCGGTGCAAAGCCCTCATAATCCATAGCTGTTTTCACAATTTAATCGTCACTCGTGCACATATCGAGAGAAGAGACCAACGGGAGAGAACTTGGCCAGGAATGGGCCAGGAATCCGGCGGAGAGGATGCAAGAAGCAGCCATAGATAATGACTGACACAAGAGCCAGCGCCAACTGGAAGAGAAAGTAATGTCAGAATAGTGGCCATTTTGATCGCTTCCACAGAGTATGACATACGATAACCAATGCAAGACTCAATTGCTGTCCCAAACTCCAGGTCGATAGAGGTGAAGTGAAGACCATGGTGTAGGTCCGTGATTGTCGTCAGTGCGAATGCAAGACTGGATGGAGCTGGGCTGAGATGGGACGTCAGTTCTTGAGATTGATTTCAAAACCCGTGCGTACGGTTGGTCTTTGCGAGCACTCCCGTGCCTCGGCTCTGTACATGCTAGCTAGCGACATATCCAAAGCTGAAGGGGGACTGGGGATAAATTTCGGGAACACTGATTCACGGCGGAGCAATACCAGAGGCTACCGCAGCAAGGCGGGCCTCTGAAATCCATTTTTTTCTTTCTATCACCCCCTCCCTTTACAGGCTTTGAATCCTTTGCCTGAGCTTGATACTAGCGCTTACGAGCATGGGTGTCTAAACATACGGAACCAAACAGGTTGAACTTTCCCATGATTCTGCTCACGTCCGGAAAATGACAAGATCAGGGTCCACTACACAGAGTCACCGATCTCTATTGGCACGCGTCTTCGCCCTTCGAATGTATGGGACACACCCCTGCCAGCCCTTATCACGTAAGCGCCTGGAGTCTGCATGTAAGTTTAGGTAGCATTGAAGTCCCAGACCCTTCCCTCCACAACGAAGTCAACTACCCTGCATTGCGATGGTGATGGTGTCTCGTTATCGGCTAAGCCTACCGAGACCTAAACCACCCACATGCTAGGTCCAGAACGTGGGCCTATCGCAGCCTATTCGGGAAGAGCTGTTGACGCGGCAGACGACTATCAACGAGTCCAGTAAGGTCACGGGATAATGCAAGTATCTAAACTCGGAGGAAGAACAACGAGGTGGTTGATTCTACTGCCCACATATATTCATTTCATCTTTGAAGACGGATAGTTGACCTTTTACAAAGCGTTTTATCCTGCTTTTACCAATTATGGGTCCCTTGCTGTACCAATCGAGACACGTACCGGCGGAGGAGGCTCGAGAGACGGGTTGCTTTACAACCCTTCCGATCCGAGTTCACCCACGGGACGACCTCGCTGATGCAGCCAGCCGGCGATTTATCGGGGACTGGGCCAGGGAAATGGGAGATGGCCGAGAGAAGAATACTTACTTCTCTTTTTCGCCTGTAGGCAACTGGTCTTCTCTCATTTACCCTGAAGCCATTCCCGAGCGTCTCGGAGTTTTGGCATATCTTTCGGATTTGGGCTTGATTCATGATGGTAAGTTTTACCTTCTAGATTCCTGTCTGCAGTATGAAATCTGACAAACTTTCAGACACTGGGGAGGGCCTCAGCATCGAGGAAGCCCAAGCCGAGCACGATGAGCTCCATGCTGCCTTGAACCCAGACGACAAGAGCAGTCTGGATCCTGACTCAAGGGCAATGAAGACCAAGAAGCTCGTTTCACAGTGCATGCTCGAGTGTATCAACCTCGACCGTGAGCTTGGGCTGAATATGCTCGCTGCCTTTCGTGATGTCTGGCTCGCTATCAGCGAGAAGAACAGCGACAAGGAGGCACAGACGTTGGATGAATATCTACAATACCGCAGTGACAATGGCGGCATGCTGTAAGCAAATCCTCCCCGCATCTCCGGAATCAAACCTGACCAGCCCCTAGAGTTTTCTGGCCCATGCTGCAATTCAGCTTAGGAATTTCCCTCTCGGAAGCGGAGCATGAGCTCGTGCAGCCCATCATTGACGCGGCCACTGAAGGTCTTTTATTGGCGAATGACTACTTCAGCTGGGAGCGCGAATTGAGAGAACTCCAGTCTGGTCAGTCCAAAAGGATTGTGAGCGCCGTGGAGCTGTTTGCCCGAACAATGGGACTTTCGGATGAGGGTGCCAAGGAGGCGGTCAAATCCAGGATCATCAAGTCAGAAAGTGAGTTCTGTCAACGCCGCGATGATCTCTACAGAGCTCGACCCGACATATCGTTGAAGTTGAGAAGATGGATTGATTGCGCTGGCCTAGCCGTCTCAGGAAACCACTATTGGTGCTCTGCTTGTCCGAGACAAAACGCGTGGAAGAACGAAACAATTTCAAACGGCCAAAACGGCCATGGTCTTGATCAAATTCACAACGGAAACGGGTTCAAGACAGTGCCCCCCGCTGATGAAACTGCTACCAGGCTTCAAAGCAACGACATCAAGATTCTCTCGACCGGTGACGGGGGCAACGCCATCATTAACGGAAATGGTGTCAAAACTGTTGTCAATGGCAACGGAATGAAAAGAAAACTCTCAGAGTACGGAATGGCAAGTCCAGAACAAGAACCGATTGTTCCGAAAAAGAGAAGCATGGACGCGGATGTTTCGTGTCAAAAACACGATATTTCAACGGTCTCCCAGTACCCCCATTACAAACCGTCTAACTTGGCAATGGACGCGCCGGCAGCCTACATCTCAGGAATGCCTTCCAAAGGTGTCCGCGGCACCCTGATTGATGCTCTCAACACCTGGCTACACGTGCCTTCAGCAGCGGTCAAGACGATCACGTCAGTCGTAAATTTGTTGCACAATGCATCACTCATTTTGGACGACCTGGAAGACAACTCTCCACTCAGGCGGGGGCTCCCATCAGCCCACGTCATCTTCGGGCAAGCCCAGTCCATTAACAGCGCAAACTTCATGTTCGTCAGGGCAGTACAAGAAGTAGCCCAGAGTCTCAGCCCAGCTGCACTGACAGCAGTGCTTGAAGAGCTTGAAGGCCTCTACCTCGGGCAAAGCTGGGACCTGTACTGGAAGTTCAACCTGGCATGCCCTACCGAAGCCGAGTACGTCAACATGATTGACCACAAGACTGGCGGCATGTTCAGGATGCTGTTACGGGTCATGCAAGCTGAGAGCACAGCTACGGAGACACCAGGCCTCGACTTCGAGCGGCTGACCCTGCTTTTCGGACGCTTCTTCCAGATCCGGGACGACTACATGAACTTCGGAGACTACGCGGCCCAAAAGGGTCTCTGCGAGGACCTGGACGAGGGCAAGTTCTCGTACCCCATCGTCTACTGCCTCGCCAACCACCCGGAATATCGCGGGCATATCCTTGGCGTGTTCAGGCAGCGACCGACGGTAGCCACGACTACCGCTTCTCCGCTTTCCAAGGAGAGCAAAGCGCATCTGGTGAGCTGCTTACGGAAGTGTGGAGCGTTTGAAAAGACGCTCGACTGCTTGCGGGACGTTGAGCGGGAGCTGGAGTCGGAAATCGACCGACTGGAGCGTTTGACGGGAGAAGCCAACCCCATGCTCCGCCTGTGCCTTGCAAAGCTAAGCACAAAGGGAATTGCCACGTTAGGATAGACGAGGTGGATGGATCGCGGATTTGTGACACATGCCGTGTAACGACCCCTCTATTGGTCATGTTCTTGGTGGTGGATGTCGATACAACATTGATTTAGCGCTTACAGCATATGTCTTTCGTTATCCTATTGAGAAATACCATCCTATCTTTCGCTTCGGACGGAATTATTTCGACGTGGGTGAACACCACACTACTTAGCTTGTAAGATAAACTCGCAAACGACTCTCGTAAATACCCTACCGTCATTGGATCCATTTGCGCGGCGAAGGATGCGCCAACTTCAGAATTCTCCAGGGGTCGGGCCGTTGGAGAAAGGACTACTGCACGTTAGATCCTAATGGCACCCGTCTGCATCGCATGGAAAGCAGTGAGATCCTCCTACCCCTGCAGGGTTACACACCGGGCGGGCCCGACTCCCGCTCCACCTTCATACCCAGACACCCTGGCTTGATAGGGCGAGACCGGTCTTTGCAAGAGGAAGCGACTAGGACTCATGGGACGAACACATGTGGCGAAGAGCGTGAAGCTTACATGCAGGTGAGCAATCGAGTCCGTTGTCTACAGGAGAGCATCATGCCCAGTCTTCGAATGCATCTGCTGGGATCTGGACGGGGCGGCTTTCGACCATGACCTCTTCCTGCCTACTTAAGCCTGAGAATCGTGGGCTGGAATAATGGGCAAGGAATTAGAAGCAGATTCTTCTGGGAAGAAGCAGGCAGCCAGACCCCGACATCACGCCCACATTATACCCAATATCATTGGCTCAACTGTCGTCATTCTCCGGTATTCAGACTTCTTGGTTCAACCGTGTCAGACCAAACGATAATGCGCCAATCATTGACCTTGACTTGGACCTGCGTCCTCCTTGCTCCCCTTGCGGCGAGTAAAAGCCTCATAGCAGACTACAATTCATGCCAGAGTGCGGTACGTACAGCTCCACTGTCAAGACAGTCAGTCACACTCCCCTGACACCGATAGTGCATCTCGCTATCTAGTCAGCTATCCGTCGAGTCGGGTGGCGACTACATTGCAGAGTTCGAGCAGCAGCCTATCACTGAGCCAGGAGTCGACGTCGGATCTCTGTACTGGTCGCAGCAGCAGCAGGCCGTCCGGCCGGCCTGCCTTGTCCACGCCCGTGAGGCCCAGGACGTCGCACTCGTGGTGCAGACATCGCGCTCCACGGGGTGCCCCTTTGCCGTCCGCGGGGGTGGCCACTCGGACATTCCCGGATTCAGTAACAGTCATGGTGGGATCACCGTCAACATGGCCGGCTTAGGCGATGTCGAAGTGGACGCGAGTGCCGGCGTAGCTCGAATAGGAGCGGGCGCAAAGTGGGGGGCGGTCTTCAAGGAGCTTGATAAGACGAACAAGACTGTGGTTGGGGGCCGACTGACTGGGGTTGGCGTTGGAGGATTACTTCTGGGCGGTGGGCTTAGCCACTTGTCTGGATTACATGGGTTGGCGTGCGACAACGTTCGCAACTACGAGGTAATTCGGGACCGGGATCGCAATGCGAGAACCCACGTTTGCCACACGAGAAGCTGACGTGATACCAGATTGTCCTTGCCAATGGCAGCATCTTCGACGTCTCGCACTCTACCCACCCGGATCTCTATCGAGCGCTTCGCGGTGGTGGCAACAACTTTGGAGTCGTGACCCGTTTCGATCTAGACTTGTATGATCAAGGCCCCATGTGGGGTGGCCTGCACGTCTGGCCGTTGTTACCATCCGTGACATCGGCCATCACGTCAGCCTTCATAGAATTCGGACACGACGCCCCGTCAGACAAGCATGTCTCACTGTTTGCAGGCCTTGGGTTTATGCAGGGCAACTTCGCCTGGGCCGTGGGGCAGTATGACACGCTCGGAAGAGAGGAACCTCCCATCTTTTCCAAGTTTAGAGACGATGCCGAGACATATGGGGCTCCCAAGGTTGTCACAACGGCAAGGGTCACGTCACTATCGGACCTTGCTGAAGAGCTGAATCTTTCAGAACCCGCGGGCAAGCGGAGCCGGTTCACGACAGCCACCTTCAGGATGGATGTGGATCTGCTTCGACTGATGGCCGGCTACTTTGTGGAAGAGGTCGAAAGGGCTCTGGAGAATGGACTACGTGAAGACGAACGCTTTGCGCCAATGTTGGGCATCCAACCCCTGACGAAGAACATTATCGGGGCACAATCCAAGCGCGGAGGAAATGTGATGGGTCTCGATGAAGAATCTGGACCGCTCGTTGGTAAGTCTGATCTCTTCTACCATAACGGAGATGTTACTTGCAGGCTGATGCGTGTGACTTCCAGTCTGTTCTTTTGGCTGGGAATGGTCTCGTGAGGCAGACGATGCTGTCGTGATTACCGGCATCAAGAGCGTTCTTGAGAAATCCGTAGCCGCGGCGGAGGAAAACGGTTTGTATCATCCTTTCAAGTACATGAACTATGCTGCGGAAGACCAGGATCCTGTCGCAAGCTATGGAGCTGAAAACGTTGAGTTCTTGAAGAAGGTCAGACACATCTACGACAGCGAAGGACTGTTCACGGAGTTAGTGCCTGGTGGCCACAAGATCAAATGATGATTTTTCCGGGGGCTAGAATTATTGCATATAGTCTATGAACATTACAAAAATCCCCATATATACGAGAATACCCCAAATTGCCCAGTTATGAATGTGGTCAACCAGATTCAACCCCTATTTTCGACCATGGTGTTCAGCATATGATAAGTGGGTGACATTGGTAGCGCCGGAAAAGCGGTCACAAGTCCAGGTGCGACCAAATCGTTCACAAATCCTGTACCGAGTATGGTCAAAGCAAGAAAAGTCCACACGAGTCCAACAACACGCCACCAGGATCCACGCCATCCGAGTTTCTCCTGAGCAAAACGAATGACCAGATCTTCCAAGAGCAAGATTTTCGGCATCAGAAAAAAGAAGGTGAGAGTTCTTGCGAAAGACTCAGATGGAGCTGCCATCTTTGCTGCCGCCCAGTGGTATAGTCCAGACAGGGCGAATGCAAAGTACGATTGGGTTTGACGACTGAGCATAGACCCTCTAGGTGCTCTGACGACTCTCCTAGCCACGAATCTGCTAGGGATTTGCAGGCCCCTTCGAAAGTTCTGATGCCACGTGCGGTTCCAGAACCTGCTCAGGGTGTAGCACTCGACCCAAGGTCCGTTTACCGGGTGGACGTCTTCGATGCGCGTCCAAAAAAGCCCGGACGACACCCCGATCAAACAAGCGATGTGATATCCGATATCCATCACGGCAATTGACGAGGCCCACCAGCAGGCTGTAGCGATGCAACGGGGGACAAAGTCTAACTCAACGACGCTCATTTTCCCATCATGAGTCAGCCACAGAAGAAGACCGGCAGCAATATCATGGCTCATGTATTGCTGTAGTATTCTTTGCATCGATAGCCTGAAGAAGGCGGTCTTGGAGGTGCCTGGAGCAGGAGCTGGAGGTAGAGGTGCAGTCCGCCAGTTCCATCCAATACCTCTGGTGGAAAAGGCATTGTCAAAACACCATCTTATCCGGTCCCAAGCACCGAGAGAGTGGAAAGACTGTTGAGGTTTCTTCCCATCGCTTGTGGGTTGTGTCCACTTGTGCTCTAGGTAAGGGTCTTCGAGCACAAGAAGATTGAAGTTGACCAACGCGACGTAAAAGACTAAGAGACAATGCTATTAGAATATCAGCTCGATAAAACGTTCTGTTTGGTGCCCAACCTGTCCCAAAGGTGTAATTCTTTGCAATATCCGGGCCAAAGGGAAAAACAAAAGCCACAAGCAGACAACCCCCCACGAAAGGGAGCAGAAGGATCCAGCGCAAGTGTCTCGGGGTTTTTGAGCCCAACAAGACCAGAATAGGGGTAGTGAGCCATATGGCACCAACGAAGTCGGCACGTTCCAGAGGCATTGCGACGAGCTTGGACAATGTGACAGGCTGCCTAAGTTGGTAGTACAGTACAAATGTAATGTTTGATGGTATCCGAGAACACAATTGTTGCTATCTGACTTTGAACGATTATCCCTTACGTTCTAAGGAAAGAATTCAGCCCAGTCTCCCTAGCCAGCTGGTGCGCTTCCCACTCGGTATCTCGGCAACTAGTTTCATCGGTTCTCAGCTTGAATACGGGGCATCTGACATGGCGAGAGATGCAGCCCAAAACCAAACATACGATGTCGTTACCTGACGCAGATTAGCTGCTGACTGTAAGCCATATGGGACGACGTTGATAAGGCACTACGACCCTCGGGGGAAAGATTCCGGGCAAGACGGCACCAATAGTGCGGGCCGCCCGCACTATTGACATGCCTGCCTAATCGGGGAACGTTACAATGCAACGCCGACGACGCAGGCCCACGCCGTCAGCGGGCTCCACAAACCCGAATCCTTCCGGGTGGGATTGCGGAGCAGACGGATCGGCCCAGCCCACTGCATCCACATGCAGATGGCGCCCCCCCCCCACCACCACACAACCGACGCAGGTCTCCATCCTACTTCGCAAACACCTCAGTGCCGTGTGAATAGCGTCTCCATAAACTCAATACACCTTGCCTTTCCTTAGATTTCTCTGCGTTAGGGCTTACTAGGGGCTCAGTTGCAGCTCTAGCAGCAAGCCTCGGCCTTATCAGGCGGTTAGGGTCAGTTACCGACGAATCCTGGGGCTTGTAATCGGCGCTGACGAGCATTTTCTCTATTATCAAGCCCTGTGTACAAGGGTAAACCCCCATTTTGAGACTTGTCAGATTTCTACGCAATCTCGGCCCCGGCTTATGTGAGACAATCCTGGGCTACATGCTTCGACTTGCTGTGGGGTTTTGGTCCCAGCATTCAAGCTAAACACGTGAACGGGTCCAAGACGAGCTTGCTATGAACCTAAGACGACTCTTTGTTGAGCGACAAAAGCTTGCAGCATGTCGCCGTGGCTGGATACCATTTCCGTTCCATAGGGCTCCCCAGCTGCTGTTTGTCTCTTCTGAACAACGAAGATTGAGCCACCATGTCGATATTCGTCGTTCCTGTCGAGACGGCCAGGCCATTGGGGTCGCTGGCGGCAGCGGCTCTGATCGTGTTCCCTATCATCTACTTTCTCTACCTTACTGTTTACCGCCTTTTCCTCAGTCCAATCTCTCACTTTCCGGGCCCAAAGCTAGCAGCATGGACATACTGGTATGAATTCTGGTACGATGTAGTTGCCGAGCCCGAGTACACCTTCAAAATTGGTAGATTGCACAAGCAATATGGTCGGTGTTCATCTTTGCCAACATGACAATCAAAGGAGTCAAACTGAACGAATACCCGACCAGGCCCTATAGTCCGTATCAACCCCGACGAGATTCACATCGCGGATCCGGACTTTTACAACACCATCTACGCTGGCAGCGGACGCAAGCGTGACAAATGGGACTGGATCACCCGGTCTTTCGGCGTCGACGAGAGCTTGATCGGTACTCTTGGCCACGATGAGCACCGCATCCGCAGGGCGGCGCTGTCGCCGTACTTCTCCAAGCAAAGCGTTCGCGCCCTGCAACCACTGGTGGACCGGAATATGGGAATCCTCCTCGGACGCCTCCGCGAGTTTGCCCAGTCCGGAGCCCCTCTGAAGCTTGATGATGCCTATGCTGCACTTACCAACGGTCAGAACCCTCAAACAAATGCCGAGAAAGTATTTGCGTACTAAGACCAGATCTTCAGATATCGTGGAGGACTATGCTTTTGGAAAAAGCGAGAACCGACTCCAGGCTGCTGACTTTGATCCATCATTCAGAGATGCCATGCTTCAAGGCGGCAAAGCCGGCCATGTTCTGAAGCACTTCCCCTCGCTGATGGACATGCTGCGCAAGCTGCCAGACTCCCTGTTGCTCAAGCTGAGCCCGGCCATGGGCGCCTACTCCCAGCTCCAAACCAGTGTGAAGAAACAGGTGGCCGACATCACACAAGCCCACCAAATGCACGCGTACGACAAGACGCGGCGCACCATCTTCCACGAGATCCTAAACAGCAAGCTCTCCGACTACGACAAGTCCACGGACCGGCTCTGGCAGGAGGGCGAAGTCGTCGTCGCGGCGGGTACCATCACCACGGCCTGGGCGCTCGGCGTCTCGACGTACTTCGTCCTCGCCACGCCCGACATACTCTCGCGCCTCAAAGCCGAGCTCGAGGCCGCAATCCCCGATCCATCGCAGCCCCTCAGCTTGCTCGTGCTCGAGCGTCTTCCCTTCTTGACGGGCGTGGTGCAGGAGGGCGTCCGTCTCAGCCATGCCATCTCGCACCGGCTGCACCGCATCTGCCCGGACGAGACGCTCGTATACCGCGCCGGCGATCGCGAATGGCGAATCCCCCCCGGTACTCCCCTCAGTATGACCAGCAACCTGGTGCACCACGACGAGCGCGTCTTCCCCGACTCTCACACCTTCAAGCCTGAGCGCTGGGTTAACGACCCCTTGCTGGACCGCTATCTAGTGTCCTTCGGCAAGGGTGGCAGAGCTTGTCTGGGTATCAATCTGGCATATGCGGAGCTCTACCTCACACTGGCGGCACTTTTCAGGGTTTATGGTTCTGAGGAAGTTCAAGGAAAAGATGACGTCGGAACCTTGAGGCTCTTTGAGACGACCGCTGCTGATCTCGTTATCACGAGCGATACCGTGGTTCCTGTAATGCCGGAGGACTCCAAGGGATTGAGAGTGACGGTACATCAGCGACCTGAGTAGCTGTAAGCGGTATCTTGGACTCTTAGTTTTCATTTCATGGTCGTAATAGGGTATCGAGAATCTCCTCACGCGAACACGAGTATGACGAAGGATTGCCCGAGCGATGAAATAAGTCTGGTACTGTGGCCGTGCACTTGGAATGAGCCTCGTCGTATCGAACGAGTCATATTTTTCAATCCAGTAGGAAAATATTTATGGCATTCAACGGTTTGCCGCGCGGCAAATGAAAGAAGGCACAAAGAGATGAGTAGTGTACTGAGTAGCTAGGTATAAGAAGGTTGGCTTGATACCGGCCTCTATGATGATTTAGATTCGGACCTCAAAGTCTAAAGTCGAATGCGTAAAACAAATATCAATTTAGAATCAGATAGGATGACCTGACATGTAGTAATTTCAGTCACAACTTCATTTCGGTTCCACGTTAACCGACGGCCCTACTGGAAGGCCGTTGCCGTATGCCCGACTCATCCACCCTGGTGACCTGGACAACTGAATCGCCGGGTGATGTGGTTTTACCTGCTGCACGGGCAAAGCATCCATCGACCAGTTCTAACCCAAGTTATCAAATGTGCTCGAGTCCAATTATGACTGTACAAGGTCCAAGCCTGGGCATTCGTTTGGGTCGGCATAAAAGACACCCCCCATCATCTCCATCGCCCGACACTTTTCGTCCATCGTGAAGGCGTTTCTAATGCCAAACGAGTGGACTTTGTCCGTGGACACCTTCAATGCCCAGACTCCACCGGTTGTCGGCCATCCAAAAACCTCGATGAACTTCTCGGCGGCCTTGTAAGTCTCTTCAGCCGCGGAGAGGTTATCCTTGCCAAGCTTTATGGCTTTTTGATAACGATCCTGAGGAGTCTCGTGTGTAGTTGTCTTTAGATAGTAGTCCCAATCGCTTTTGTAGAACTTGGCGCCGAGTCTGCGCATGTTGATACAGTGGGTATCTTCGTCTGCTGAGTCGTCGGTCCGCGGTGTTGGGACGAACCGGTTGAGGCCAAGGAAATCGAGGTCTACGCCGTCACATTGCAACATGTAGAAGCCTCCGGTGCTAGGCCATCCATACACCATCGTGTAAGATGGATAGAAGTTGGTGCGAAATCGTGAACTCTCGATGGAAGGGTCCATTCGGAAGCTTTCATGGTCATCGCCGGCATCATCATCCACAACCTCAAATTGGGGGTTGCCGTTAGTTTGCATAGACTCTGGAGAGGCAGAGCCTGGCTGACTTGTCGCTGTCGCGGAGGATCGGAATAGACTTCTGGCAAAGAACATGATTGCCACAGGGAGAAGATGAGCCAAGACTATAATATTGAATTGTCTTGATTTCGAGTGTGTTCAGGTTTGAGTTAAATGTGGCGTGGTTGTGGCTGCCTGTTGGTATTTCGACTGGGGTGGATACAAGCTCTGCTGACATAACCAACACGTAAATCATGACTTGAGAGGAGCAGGCTGTCCCGAAGAGAAGGCTAGAGAGACTACGGGAATGGAAAAGTAAAGTAGGAAGACGCTTGAGATTCTCCACGAACTCAATTCTGTAGAGCGGCGGCTGAGCCAGAATATTTCCTTCGCTCATGAAGTAGTTTACGATGGAACACTCCAAACACTTCTTGCTGATCAATATCTACATTGACGTGTGATGAGTCGCAATTCTTCTTGGTCTCAAACGTCTGCAAAGTTGCAAGAAATGTCACAACTTTGGGCGTAAACTCCCCTCAGACGCTCGTGTTCCTAGTGTCTCCCTCGCTTGTGCGTTCAATCTCTTCCACATATCCTTCCGACGCTCGTGACCTTGCATGAACCGTTCAAACCAGAACTTGTTGAAAGGCTGCAATTCTCGTCCTTTGCCGTCTGCCGTGGGTGGACCAGCGATTCTTCTCAACTCCTCGAAGTACTCTTCAAAGTCTGGAAATACGAGCGCAAACTTCGGCCCGTCGCCGCGCTTGGCGATACGGTCTACTTCCCAGGCGAGCTGAGCTTCCGGTGATGGGAGGCGAGAGGGTGGGACGCGGCCTGCGAGCAGTCGTGCGGCGAGAACAGCTTGGTATTCGAAGATCTTGAACGTGAGGCCTGCGTTGACGGCACCGACGAAGAGAATTGTGGGGTCTGGGGTGTAAATTGTGTGGAGATAGAGATTCGGGATGCGGTTGTTGCGAGTGGTAGGGACTGGTGTGCGCTTGGCCGTGGTCGAAGAGCCGGACGACTGTGGCGCGAAGAAAGGTAGTGTCCAGCTGTAACCCGTGCCGAAAATGATGTCGTCTACACCAGAAGCAGAAGATCCGTCAACGAAGTGAACAGTTCGAGTGGTCGGTTCGATGTGAGATATGGAGGCGACCCGCTTGACCAGGGGGTGGTTGAAAGCCTCGTCACCAAAGTACCCGTTGAACGTGTGTCCTTTGACCACAGCATATACAGGTGCTTGAGCCACCTGCGTCAAATCAAACGCGATGTCTCCTGCTGAGACGGAGGCGCCGACTACCACGACTTTCTTGCCCTTGAATGCGTCCCGACCTCGGAAGTGCTTGCTGTGAATCACACTTCCCGGACGATCTCTAGAAAACTCGGGCAGGCCGTCAATGGATGGGATATAGGGCACACTGTAATGCCCGGATGCGACAATGACGGCATCGAATCTCTCCTCCCACCAGTAATCAGTGTTCTCACCATCTTTGCGTAACGTCAACTTCCACTCCTCACCGAAACCGCTTGCTGCAGGCACCTTCTCAGCTCGCTCCACGGTAGTATTGTAGCTGATGAAGTCGCCGTAGCCCCTTCGGTCGACCAGAGAACGGACGTAGTCCTGGACTAGGGACCAGTGTCTGAAAGGCGTGTCTTCTCCGTGGAGTGATCTTGAGTGTTCGGATTGCTCAGTAGGAAACGGCTCTTGAGTATACTGCATAGGGACGAAGTCTACGTTCGTTTCAAGGTATGGGTAGACTGTGGATTCAGAATACCGCGGGGAGCGCGACTTAGGCAGTTGAGCAGGGAGGTTGGAAGGAATTGTTGGCAGCTGGGGGTCTGCCGTTCGGGAGGAGAGAAGTTTGAGCTCATCCGATTGAATGAGCGGCGGTGGTTTCCCTTCACCTAGCCTGTAGATATTGTTAACACGGGTGACTACTCGGTCTGTGATGGACTATGTAGGAAGGGCTCCATATTCTCCATCCAGTCCTCACGTAAAGATTTATTTCGACTCACCAGCATCCGCCAGAAGCCTCACGACGCTCAAAAACCCGGATAATGTCAAATGCCTGCTCTTTGGCAAGAGCATCGATCGTGATGGCACCGGCTGGACCGAGGCCGATGACTGCAATGCGCTTGGCGGGCTTCCCTTCTTTCGCCATCTTTATAAACTTGCAGCGGTGGTTCTGGGTGGCTGTATGGTCAGAGGTTTGTTCAAAAAACACTCAAAGACTGTTTTCCTGGCGTCTTATGATTGAAGAGGAGTGGTGAAGCGGTGATCGGAGGGATTCGCCATGAACTGTAGCCCCACACAGAGCTTTTCGCCGGGATTCAATCCTACAAACTTGGATCAGTAGCTCGATGGCACACTCCGTAGAACCCTTACTCTGTCGGTCACCGCCACCTCTCTGTACGTATTGTTTTCTATTAATGTTGCTGTCTACGTAGAAGTGGGCACTGGCAGTCGACACAATTTTACACAAACGGCCTTTACCTTTGCAGATGGGATCCGATGTTGGATAACGAAACATTTAAGCAAACAAGCAAACACAAAAGGCCAAGGACGAGGAGGCGGTTTCAGCTAAACGGAACTTTTCATGTTCAATGAAATTTTCAGAGGGCTTATCTCACGTCAAAATTGTACACTCACGCTGTCTACCTTTATCTCCCACCATTTAAAAGTTCAAATCCCGATAACAGTCAGTACTGAACAAATAGCTCGGGGTTTGTCTTGGCGCGATGGTGAAAGATTGCGTGCTCGGTAGGATGGCAGTCATAGCCATTAGACTGCAGACCAAAAGTGGGGAAGCTTCAACAACATCCAGCCATCGGTCGGGATGTCTAACTGAATCAAAGTGAGTTTGCCGGCATGGCACATCCTTAGAGTGTGGTTTGGGGGCGATTGCGTGATGTTCCCAAGACTGTGGCACCGGAACGGGTCTTTCAAATGCAAGGATGGATTGGAGTAACACTCGTACACGAAGCATCAATATGCCTGGGGTTCCGTAAAGCTAAAGATGGCGTGAAGGATAGCCTCTGGGCTCCAAATGCCGAAATGAGAGGTCCGATGAAAAGGATCTGCCTTTGAAAACATGACCAGACCCCTTTCGCCGGGAGAACAGACAACAGCTTCAGGTTTCAATCGTCTTGTCACCTTGTGCACACGACAAAATGAGTGAGTCGAAGCAGGAAAGTCTGCAGTCTATTGACTCGCCAGGGCAAGTGACACCAGGTATTGAGCCTGACTGGACGCATCATGAGGAAATACGAGCTCGTCGAAAGTGAGTTGACATATGGCAGGAAGAGGACTCGCCGACACAGGTTTGCTGACACTACTGCTGGTAGAATCGATAGCTCGGTGCTCCCACTATTGTACCTGGGCCTGCTTGTATTTCAACTTGACCGTATGAATCTTGCAAGTGCGCTCACCGGCGGGTTTGCGAAAGACATTGGGGTCAACCAAGACACAATTAATCTGGGAAACCAACTGATGTTCCTGGGAATCGTCATCTTAGAAATTCCCTCAAACATGCTCTTGCAAAAGGTAAGTGTGGTCTAGGTACAGATACGTAAGACTCTTATGTTCTTTCAGAGGCCACGGTGCTGACAATTTGAAAATCAGATTGGGCCGCGCAAATACATCTCTAGCCAAGTAATTCTATTCGGTTTCGTCGCAACTATGCAGGTATTTCTCGTCGACCGCAAGGGTTTCTTAGCTTCGCGTATGATGCTTGGCCTTGCAGAGGCGGGCTACATTCCAGGGGCTTGCTATACCCTCTCGACTTGGTACACAAAGAAAGAACTAGCGAAACGCATCGCAATCTTGTTAGTGCCGTCAAAATACCGAAGAACAACTCTCCTGACTTTGAAAAGCTTCTTCGGAATGTTTAGTGGAAATGCCTTGAGCCCCATACTGGCATCGGGTATCCTCAAGCTCGAAGGCGAACGTGGGCTGCGTGGCTGGCAGTGGCTTTTTCTGGGTATGTGTCTCAAAAAGACTTCTATCTATGGTTCGGACTTACTGATATAGAACCAGTTGAGGGTGTCTTTACGATCTTTGTTGGACTTTCGCTGCTATTCCTTCTGCCAGGATCCCCAGACACCCCCGATCCGCTGTTGAGCCCAGGCCTCATCCGATTCAAAGGTTCAGAGAAGAGTATCATACAACGACGTCTTGAGATAGACGATAAAGAGAAGCGAGGAGGTGCTCAAGGCATGAGAATTCCTCCAAAGCTCGTATTGAAGACTGTCCTGCACTGGAAACGCTGGCCACACTTTCTGAGCAGCTTTGCAGTCTTCTCCACCTGGAGCCCTCTTACCACTTACACGCCTACCATCATTATGTGAGTGTTGAACAAAATGATTCAGGATTGCTCAAGACTTTTTGTTTTCTTTTGTGTACCATGACTTACACGTTGGATCAGGAATCTCGGCTTCAACCGCATCCAGGCCAATGCTCTTGCTGCGGTGGGCGCGTCACTCGCTTTGGTCGTCGTCTTCGCTTTTGCCTATATCAGTGACAAGACCAATAAGCGTGGATTTTCAGTAATCGGAGCTCAGTTTTGTTATCTGATTGTCTTGGTCATTGCGCGTACGGCACACCCTCATGTGGGCAAGTGGTCACGCTGGGGGCTTTGGACGGCTGTGAACAGCTTCGCGGTTGGGTATCACCCTGTCAACAACTCATGGGTGCAACTCAACTGTAGGGAACCAGGTGAAAGAAGTATTAGCATTGCGTAAGTTTCCGTTTAACTTACACCAAGTTCCCGATTAAGACCCGCTAATATCGAACAGGATGTGGGTGATGCTCTCCATCAGTGGGTTGATGGTCGGAACGCAGTATTATCGAGGCAATGATACCCCATTGTGAGTACTTTGAGCTCCCAGCACTGCGGGAGTACAAAGCTGTTTAGTTATCATCGCTGATCTATCATAGTTACCAAACGGGTCTGAGAACACAGATTATCATGGTATCAGTGGGAATGGCATTCGCAGTTCTCCAGGTTGTAATCTACGCTGTTCACAACAAAAGGGTGGCTGAAGGAAAGCACAAGCCGCGGGATGGTGAAGTCCCGCGGATCTATGTGACATAAACAGACTGGAAAGCAATTTATAGCGAAATAGACTCAAATTCGCCTTCGAATTCCTTTGATATGCGCTTGTGAGCTTGTCCGATGGGTCTCTCGACGATGTGGAACCCCGATTCTTTGCCCCGATCTCGGGGGAAGTCAACGAGCACCGGGTGCGGGGAAACACCATGCAGCAAGGGGTGGCAAGAATAGACCGGCCTATCAACGAGGTCGTGCTCTCTTTTTGTTTACCACATTGGGCCAAAGCCGTTATGACCTACCTTACTTTGACTTTTGTCTAACTCAGGCCCCCGGAGCGACAGTGGGGACCTTTTCTGACTTTCACGACCTGAACCGGGACAGGTCTTTGCAGATGCTCTTTTGGTTTCTCATTTCATTTACTCAATGGGGAAGAAAGTTGACAATGCTCGGCTGGGAGGGGATATTGCCAAGTTTCAACGCAAATTGACCATGTCGTTTGGAGTGGGCGCACATGATTTGTCTCGACATTTGGACCCGGGACGTGAGCAGAAGATATAAGTATGCAGCTCTGTGCAAGATGCATTTTAGAGCTGTGCATCATCTGAAATGAGTCCAAGCCCCTCACGACTCAACAGCCTAAACCTCTGGCACTAAACCAATCTGTTCTGAAACCTGAGTTGCTACCTACACACATACTATGTTTGACGTCGTCATTGTTGGAGCAGGTCTCAGCGGCCTTCAGGCTGCCTATTCCGCCCAACAAGCCGGTCTTTCAGTCGCAGTCGTCGAAGCTCGAGATCGTGTTGGCGGTAAAACGTGGAGCGTGCCATTGGCCTCTGGACGAGGCGTCGCCGATCTGGGCGCTGCCTGGATAAACGAGAAAACGCAAAGTCGTATGGCAAAATATGTCAAGAAATTCAAATTACCAACAGTGGCGCAGAGACTCAAAGGTACTGCCGTCATGCAGCTGGCCGACAGCAGTAGGGTCGAGTTTCCGTTCGGCATTATACCCGAGGTAAGTAAAATCTCTCCAACTTCATTGATGTATTCGTATATGCCATATTTCAGGGCTCATTCTCGTCTGTTCAGTTTTCGGTTGAGGAGAAGGAAAACCTCGAGAAGATTCGCGACCACATCCAAGCTGTTTCTTTGAAGCGCGAAGCTCCTAGGAGAGAAGACGACGAGGTATCTCTTGACCAATATGTGCGAAGTCTTGGTGCTCTTCCAAAGACGGTGGAGATGGTCAACCTATGGGCCAGAGTGATGCATGGAGTTGATTCCAGCCAAGAGTCAGCAGCTTTCTTCATTGACTATTGCCGACGCAATGGCGGCCTATTCTCGATTCGTGCTGATGATCAGACGGGTGGCAACTATCAGCGCTTTCATGGCGGTAAGCTCCACTCTCCGCAGGCTTTTTCTACTTTGCTCACTTCAAATCCTCTTCATCAGGCACGCAACAGATCGCAAACGGCATTGCCAACTTGATCGGAGAAAGCAACATCCATCTTTCGGCCCCTGTCGCTGCACTTGAGAATCATCAAACCCACGTTGTTGTCATCACGTCTAGAAACCAGCGTTTCTTAGGAAGAAAGGCCATCATCTCTGTGCCAAGCGCTATGCTTCGCGATCTCAACATCTCACCATTATTGCCTCAAAGAGTGCGGGAGGTCACCGACTCGTCAAAGCTTGGACACTACAACAAAGCGATCTTGTACTATGACAGACCTTGGTGGAGAGATCTTGGATTCAATGGTTTCTTCATGAGCTACAAGGGACCTGTCTGTGTAGCACGTGACACCAGTGTCGACGAGACCCAGAGCTTCGCTCTCACCTGTTTCGTCAACGGCAAATTTGGTGAAGATTGGTCAAAGCTGTACCCCCACGAGCGTCGTCAACTTGTTATAAAGCAGGTAGCCGAGGTTTTCAAGGTCGACGTTGACTCGGAAGCTTTTCGTCCTATCGAAGTCTTTGATCAGATATGGAAGCACGAGCAGTTCAGCCAGGGCGCGCTTGCACCCATCACTGAGATTGGCCACTTCACAGAGTATGCTGATGTGTACGGTAAGCCGGTTGGCAATCTTCATTTCGTTGGCACAGAGTACTCGACTGAGTGGAAGGGCTACATGGAAGGGGCGCTATGTTCGGGAGAGCAAGGAGCTAAGGAGGTTCTTGAGGCCCTTCAACGTGTGTCCCGGGCGAACCTTTGAACCGGCGGGTTCGAAGCCAAAAGCTCATGGCCCTGGAACATTATTCGAAGATGGTCCCGAACCATGGAAACCAAGAGGAAGTTGGTTTTACGCCTATTTCACACAATAGCTGATAGCCGCCACGACCCCGAAGCCTATCTTTGAGAATAGAACCCTCCCATCACAAGGTCATGATCAGTCTCCTCCTAGAGCTAAAGGGTTATGAGACCGAATGTGAAGATATTTGGTATGGGCACAATGCAGCTAGACACGGGTTATTCAAAGTGGCCTAATCCAATTTCGAGCTAAGTACCTTACTTAGGCAATCAGTTGCGGCACAGCATAGGTAGGCTGCGACGTAATTCGAGCCGGACACCGAGATCTTCTCGGCTTCCGGCCAACAGGGCCAAGCCACCATAACCAAAGTTGTTGGTGGTCTGAGGGGCACAAACATGACCCCTGTTGAGTGTCGTGCCAAAGTAAGGTGATGACTCTTCTCTGCCTAGTCCTGCTGCACAGGCACAGCATAGAAATATCTGGTCACTGTCTCTTCACTTGACAGAGAATTTACTTAATAGAGCTACCTCCTCTTGATGTTTTAATTCGCAGACTGCCAAGCTCCCATACAAAAAATCTATCCCGCTCCCGCAATTCGCTTTCGGTGCCTACAGAAGCCCCTATACTCCCTTCGAAGAAGAGAATTTTATATGATGGATTCCCAGGCTTCAAATATCGACTCTCAAAGCGCCTCAAAACAAGCCGCCGATGCCCCGCCATTCGACTTGAACCAGGCTCGGTTCCAGAAGTCGCTTACCTTTGTGCAAGAAGTTCGCGTGAGTCTTACTTCCTTCAACTCGTTTGCGAAAATTTCACTCAGTCTTCTTACCCGCCAGGACCGGTTTCAGACTAGTGAACCGGCGAAGTATACCACTTTTCTCAGCGTGTTGCAGGAGACGAGTGTGACGCCCATGGAATCAGAACAAAAGTGGCAGGCTACTAGGGCGGAAAAGCAGGCTGAGGCTCGCATGAAGCTGGAAGAGCTGTTCAGAGGTCACGAAGACCTATTAGAAAAGCTGGATGCATTTCTCCCACCGCCAAGCACGCCAGCAGAAGATCAGTAAATTCCTAGCATTGAAAGGCGCTATGGAGTACAAGCAGATTGTCTGAGAATGATTATTCCCAACCAACAGTGGCTAGTCTGAAAGTCATAAGTCACACCTTGGCTGTTTTTTACTCAGCTGCTAATACTGAATGTCTCCACTGGAGCTTCAGAAACCGGGTGCCAAGGCTGTTCACTGTGCATGCAGGTCGGGCCACCTGTGACCTGCAGTAAATAGTCTTCAAGGGCAGGGGATTTCAGGCAGAAACATTGAGAGTTTGAGGTGTAGATTACTGCTTTTGAAGGATTTTTCTTGATCGGTTGGGGCTGCTTGCAGATGCAAAGCGGCACAGCCAACATTCATGACTCGAAATGGGCTCATCACATACTTGAATGGCTGTGGTTGGGTTGAGTCTGAAATCTCCAACGGGGTCTACCAGCATTTGATGGATCCTATAGATAGATTTCATGCTCTGGTGTGTGTACTGGAGGAGGGAGTCTTCACGAAGGATATCAGAGTACAGGCTCTATATTGGCTCATGCTACCTTTACATTCTACATGATGAAAACCCGAAGCTCCGGGATAAGTGCAGGCCAACATAACTGGCCCGATTCCTGCGACCAGATAGCTCTCAGAAACACCAAAGCCTTCGGAATATTCAAGAAATTATTACGGTGATACTGTCTGAGTAGAAAAGTTTCAAAGAATAGCCGCTGCTCGGAGGTATGGCATTCGAGCGCAGCAATGAACGTAGGCCAGACAAGTATGTGTTCCCCTAGAGCGCCTTCTGGGAAAGCCTCCAAGCTCCGCTGGAACGTCTCGATAGCATCTATACATGAGGGGAGTAAAGGGGTTTCGTTGTCGTTTGTCGACACTCGACAGAGATACATGTTGAAGGCTTGCTGGCGGATATCGGCGATAAGGTCAAACGTTGGACAATGATCGGGATACAAATTGTAGTAGTAGTAGAGACAGTCGAAACTCTCCCGCGCATGGTACAAAATTGCGTTCTTTCCGGCATCTTGACTGACCAGAGGTGCAGCGTAGACTCGCATCCTAGCATTTATGAGCAAGAGATCCAGCCAACAGAACGTGAATATGAAGGCAATAACTTACTTGCGAATCTGCCTCAAAAGAAAGCTGCCCATCTCCCCTCCATCTGCGAGGGCCGTATCACCTCCAATAGCCGTTACGGCGGACTCCAGCATTTGGAAGACAATTGGAAAGTCTGGCATACCATTGACCATGACAGAAACCAGAAGCACAACAATGGCCAGAACGACGAGTTGTTTGGGCTCATCACTTCGATCAGCCAGGTCCTTGCGGTTTGACAGCTGACTGATTGCTAAGGCATAGAGCTTGTCCGGATTGACTACGGGCTGTAGGATCGCCCTGCCCGAAAGATGGAATGCCGACACGGCAAGAACGGCGTCCATTACCATTGTGTTTGACCATGCTATTGGTAGGATCAAACGTCGCCAGCCGTTGTTGATGTCATCCACTACAACCATCTCGGGAGCGATGGCTTCTGAAACTGAATCACATTATCAGCCAAAACTCATACAGGTTCATAGAGAGTGAAAAGTTAATGACAACCACAGTGACCTTGAACGTACAATGAGTGAGTAGAAACTCTTTCCACGGCTCTAGCACGCTGAGATTGACTGGCGATAGTGGCCCTGCAGAGACAGCGTCGGCATCTGACCGGGAAATTTGCGATATGATGCATAAGTCGTTGATGACATCCGAAGATAGTTTCTCTTCGTCGTCAGCGTGATCCTTACGGTCGGAGACATCGCGACCTAGATCCCTTTCTGAACCACCACCCTGAGCAGACCACTCGCCCCCATCACCGTAAGTACGAGCCGAGCTGTTCCAGTACACATCGTCCCAAGCTTGTGAGTCCCGAAACGGTTCAAGCACCTTTGACTTGTCTCTCGCGGGACCATGCGCCGATGTCTGGGCAAGGGAATGCTTCAGCATCGCACTTCGACCACCAGAAGTGGACCTTTGTCGTGATGAGAAGCCATCCAAGAACTTGTACTTCAAAACGAAGCCGCTGCATGTGATCCCACGGTTTCTACACTTTGCGCAGCTCGGACGCGTGCCATCGCAGTCGATTCGACGTTGGGAGCATTCGTAACACCCTATTATCCACAATGGAACTCATCAATCACTTTGCCCTTCCTTCAACGCTGGAGTCCGTCTCGAATGGGGATGCAGACATACCCTTGACTTTTGGAACATAATCTCGTTTCTTTCGAGCCATGAATGCTGTCAAGCATCAAGCCGCTCCCTCATCTCGGACATATCACTCTGGTGTTGCTAGGATCAGAAGCTTGTCCAGGCCGAAGTGCGGGGAGTTCGTCTCTCATTGTTGAGCCCCAAAGCCCCTCCGGACAAGGATCGGGGCACCTTGCCGCACTTTCCCCGCAGCGGTGTTGGCCGCGGTTCCTGCTCCGGAGATCGGCATGCTCTAAGCGGCCGAGTTGCAGTAGTGTCATTTTCCGCTTTCTGACGATGTCCGAAAGGAGTAATCAGAATGAGAGCACACATTCCCTATCAAAACCAGACCCGACCAATCAGATTTTATAGCAACGACCTCATCGTCATCTCTAGCTCTTGAGGAGCTGCTACCAATGTCTTCTGCATGATCTCGCTGCCAGTCATCTTGCCGTGCACTGAGACTGCTCGAACGTCGCTACCAACGACCGCTATCTTCTGACCTAGCGCTTCAGAGCATCTTGCGCGATTTACATGTACTTATGGAGTGAAGGAAATAAGTCACCATCATTTGCAAGCAAAGCAAAGGTCAACCCAGTAGAGCACGGACTCCTCATAAGCTTTCCAGTCCCCTAAGTTAAGCTTTCCTCGCGACGACTCCTGCCAGTTTCTGGCCTGCGCTCCCTCGTATCCAATCAATTAGCCTTTCTATCACACGTCTAGATCATCTCTCTGCCCCTTCGCCGAGCAGCCGCAAACTACACGACCGAGACCCGAGATTACACGGAATCTCATAAAAGCGTACTAGATTGAAAGCTTGGACCTAAGCGGTTCCACGAGTCCTTGTAGAAAAGCTTGTACGGCTCTTCGGATACAATGGCGACTATGTCGTGAAATTGCGAGAGGCGGACCCCTAGAGTTAATCGTCTAAGGGTATAAAGCTTCACCATTATCCAAGAATGGCGTAGATAATCACCTCAATACCAAGACTTTTCTCCTCACAAGCGTCAACATCCCGCTCGTCACCCTCACCAGAACCCTCGAAACCGCCAAAATGCTCCCCTCAATAACTCCCCTCCTCCTCCTTGCCGCCGCAGGAACCTCCCACGCAATCAACATCTGCTGCTCCTCCTTCGCAGGACACACCTGCACAAAAGACCAATACAACAATCACCGCCAAAACGTCATCCTGAACCAAATCATCAACGTCGACGGCCGCAACTGCGTACGCAAGGGCGCCGGCCCTGGTGCCTGGACCAGCAAGAAGGACTGGTCCGAGTGGTACGACTGCCAGCAGTGGGTCGGTCCCGAGCAGCACCAGATCGAGGTCGGGGAGTGCACCCTCTTCTGCGTCATGCCCAGTGGTCTTCTGAACAAGCCTTGTATTTAAGCTTTGGTATTTCTTACCTTGTTTATCGGATGATGGGCTATACTGCAAGTTACCAAGAGGCGTAAAGGGTCGTTAAACTCTAAGTTCTCTTCGTGCATCCAGGCAGGCTGAAAATTCAAGAGAATCGTGCGCAAGACACATCATTAGTAGCGGTTGACTAGCGATGTAACTACATGCTCATGCTTTGACAAAGAGAGGATAATATCTACCTTTCTGGAAAAAATTATTAAGATACTGCTCGTTCAACTTCTGTGCATTCAAGGCATTTTAACTAGTCGCGATCGATGTTAAGTCTGAGAGAGCGTAATGTTTTGTCAGACATTTGCTTCATGACATTCATCGGGGAAGAATCAAGACTCCAGCGCAGAATGGCCGAGCTTTCCCAACAGACAGACTTTGTTGTTTGTACGGCTATGCAAATGTCTGAACGCTATCTTACATATTGTTTCCATGCAAACAATAACTCATGCTTTCGCTGTTTGTGTAGGCGACTCTCATCCCTTGCCCTGGAAGCCGTCCATTGCCACACGTCGTTATTCTTCTGCGTCAACCATCGCTCGAACTAGTACTCCGGAAAGCATTGCAAGATTGTCATGATCTGGTTTCAAATGTGTTAGCCATCACGAAGTCACATATGATGATAAGGTTGAGGATGTGCTCGTTGGGATCCCACTCACGCCATTGCCTCGTCAGGGTTCAGCTATGTACCCGTCCAGATCCGCCTAACCGCAATCATACCACATCGCCAGGAGCCTGCACACCATTCATACACTCGCAGCGGCCGGGTTCACTCTTGAAAAGAGTCCGGTAAAGTGGCAAAATGGAGACGAGGGACGCCGCCAATGTGTTGCAATGAGAGGCTAACACCCAGCAGTCGCTTCTGAGATTGTGAGACCTGAAGCTGCTGAGGCAAACCATAACGATAAGTACGTTGATGCCACTGGTCGCGAAGAAATGAGTCCAGGATATGCACAAAAGACTATGCTTGAAAGTTCCATTGCGCTGTCGAAGCAAATCATACATCGTGTTTGCGGCGAGGAATCCATCGAGAAGAGCGCCGACTGATCCATAGAAGAAGAACTGTGTACTGTCGTGGTTGCCCTTGACGTAGCTGTAGAAGAGCACAGCGGCATCGCCAGAAAAAAGTATGACCGACATAAGAAACCAGAAACCGCCGAGGACCTAGGTAAGCGCTTTGTATTTCTTGGCGCTCGGTGTCCCAGCTGCGATTGGGCCCGGTACTTCAGGTACGTCTGGGACTGCAGGTGCGCCCAAGGCTACAGGTACGCCCGGGTTTGCTGGCTGCATATCCCGGAGTTCGTATACAGGAGGGGGTGAGTTACTGTTGATAGACATGACGAAGAGCGGTGGTGTGTTCGGACCCGAGTGGGAAGGACGATTCGGCGCAGACTTAAGTAGCGAACGGACGTAGGGGTTGTCGGATAGAACGAGGCTCTCGGATTGATGATATTCTGTTGATACTTGTGTACAACGAATGAAGTAGTGTTTCTGGCCCAAAAAATCAAAGTTGGTGTTCGTGGTGTTGAATGTGGTCAGGAAGAGAAGTGAAGTTGTGAAGGCGGGACGTGAGCGTGAACGGTGGGTCATGCCAACGGAGAGAAGTGAGTTCTTCCAAGGCCGGTGGCTCCCTGTGGCAGGAAATGCCATTTGCTGCTTCCTCCTTTCCGGAACTGCCTACGGGCTGATGCGGCAAGGAGTAGATCTTGTCTCAACGGAAGAACCGACTTCTGCCTTCCTTTGGAGGAAAATCTTCTTCCGCAACATTAGAAGTAAGTCATGTCAAGTTCCCCCCAGCCTGCCTTGGTATCATGTTCTGCAGTATCCCCTCAGGCCGTCGGGTTAACGTGTGCTGCCTCATCTTGAATCATAAAAGATTGGCCAACTATAGCTGAAGGCTCGACCTCACGTCAATCAATGCGAGCAAGTGATCGGTCGTCCATAACAACCGTCCTCAATGAGTGGGATCTTGGCAGACTTCGTTTCATGCAGGACCATCGAGACACAAAACGTGTTACACCATCTCAAAGCATTGGGAGGCGGGCAGGAAAAGGAATAGACAGAATACTCAACAGCGCTTTTCCTTGGCGGGACTTCGAGCTCAGACCAGATACGTATCATGACCCGGATTTTGGATGATCTCGACCAAGGTACGCAAGCTCTCTGGATAGGGGAAATGTATAGGGGAAGTAGCCATGAAAGGGTCTGCCCCCAAAGACACTTGTCCCTTCCCTATAGGCAGCAAGTCTCTTGTTCAAGATTGTGCGGAAGGCAGCAGCGGTGTCGGGTTGATCCACCTTTCCCAGAGCGCCGACGTGACTTCTTCCAAGCACGATTAGGTAGGTGAGCACTGCGCTCTCTAATCCACCGGTCTGCTGGGTAAATAAGAAAGGCACAGGTCACGGAAGAGCTGAGAGAGGGGCGTAGCCTCCCAAATGCTTGTCTGTCTGTGCCTAATCCGTACAATACCGGTGACTGGGGATGGATTAATCGTTAGGCGTACGAAAACGTACGTCTGGAAAGGGAAACGATGGCACAAAGGCGTAATCATTTCAGAACGAAGATAAAGGTGGCGGTGGATCCAGAACGTGCTTGGCCAACGATGAGCTGCATAAGAAAGAGGTAAAGTCAGGTTGGAGGAGATAGGGGAAGTTGATTGAGGTCGAAAGAGGCGGTGCGAAGGAAGAGACAGCGCGGTCGATGGAGAGGAAGGGCAAATCATGATAAAATGTTGTATTAGGATCGCTAAACATCTTCTCGAGGCTCCAAGTCGTGACGGTCGTGTCCAAACAATGCGGGAAAAGACAATGTTTCCTTGCGCCACAAACTCCGATCCTTCGCATCACACATCCTCTCCCGTGCTGTCGTGTTGCCCACGATTCAATTTATTCCCTGTTCCGGAAAAGCTTGTTGCCTCATTTCTTCAGCCTTGGGCAATGGTGTCGCGAACAATCTTGTTACAGTCGACGGGGTTCTCAAAGACGAACCAGTCGTCGCGAGGAATGTTCTTGAAAGCTTTCTCGAAACGTTCCGGCTCGTTCTTTGCGGAGATACCAATAGCTGCGATGTCAGTGACCTTGCGGATCAAGATGAGCTTAATCCAGCCCTTGAATTCGCGGTAGCTGTGATTGCTGATTAGTGTCTGCTCGAAAGGCCTCAAGGAAGGGAATAAAAATACTCACATATCACCATAAGCCTCGGGGTCGGACTGTGTGGAGTCACCAATGAGGATGAACTTCCTCTTCGGAAGCCACTCGTGCACCTTCTTCATGCGCTCCACCTTGTACTGCTCCGTGGCCATGGTTAGCGCCGACAGCAGGCCTGCAACCGTCTTCCAGCTTGAATCGCGGAGAATGATGGACCCGGGCGGATAGTATTTGTCGCGGAACTCCCTCAGGAACGGGTACAGGTTGTATGGGGAAGCCGAGAGGTAGAACCAAGGCGACTCCTGCGGCAAGAGTGCTGAGATGTTCCGGTATAGCTCGGGCATGCCCTCAATTGGTCTCGGTTCGTTGACAAAGGTCTCGCGGAGAATGCCGATGGGGTCGCTCGTCTGCGTCAACTTGATGGTGTCGTCGATGTCTGTGTAGTGCCGTGTTAGTGAACCACCGTGGCAAGGTATTGGTGCTTACATTGACGTACCTGAGATGATTGCCCACCCCTCTGGAGCAGCGAAGAAAGTCTTCATCTCCAACAAGCCGGTCGCGCCACGCGGCACCGCTGCGCTCGACGTGACCGTCGATCCAGTGGGCTGCTCGTGGATCTTGAGTGTATCCGTAGTGATGCCATTCGAGCCCGAGGGACCTAGCTTAAGCTCCTTCTTCTGATGCACGACGCGGAGGTGTCGCGCCGGCTGCACGTCCCACAGGAACGGCATGATACGCTCCTCAATGGTCTTGCGCTCCTCTGCATCGTCCGAGAGCCCAAGCTTCTCGGCGACGCCCTGCACGATATCGACCACCTTGCATTTCGGCTCCTTCTCGAAAATCGCGGCGACGAACTCGGCTTGCCAGCTGCCCAGACGGGAGGGCTTGTATGCTGTGTTGTCCAGGAGCCAGACGATGTCGTCGTCGGTCACGGGCTTGCCCCAGGGGTTGTAGCTGCCGAGATGCGACAGGATGCCGCTGGCGCTCGCGAAGGCTGCCTGCAGAGTCGGCACTGTTGGGTTGGGGAGCTGTGCCTCGACCTCGTCGAAGCGACGTTCTTTGCGGGTTTGCTTCTGCATCTCGTCTGCGAATGCCGCGGGGCTCTTGCCGTCGTCTTTGGCCGCCATGGTTTCGATGTTCGGCGCTGCCTACAGATCTTTATAGAGATGTCTCTCTGTGTGCAGCCTTCGCCTCTTGACAATGAATCAACGGTCACTTGGTCGGCGAGGTAAGCAATGTGACTCGAAAAGGGTACTCCTGGTGCCTTGGCGACGAAGTGGTTGGTAGGCTGATGATTCAAGGCTGAAAGGCAGAAGTGTCTCGAAGGTAGCTGTTCCTAGTTGACGGGAAACGGTGAAAGATGGTGGTGGGAGGTGCGGCACCTTAGGTAGGCGACCTAGAGCAGATGAATGGACGTAGGCAGTACGGGGTAATAGGCGTATGTCTCAGCTGGGACGAAGAATTGCTGGGAATACTGCGTATGAGCTTTCAGCTACAGTCTGCGCCAGCCATGAGCCGTCGGTGTCGGCGAGAGGGGGGTAGGGCGAACCGATGCATTATGTCAGAGCTAAAGGCGCTGGCTGCATCGTCTGTGTGGGAGGTGTCCGTGACATGGTTTAGGGCGAGCTGTGACAGGTCGGTCCATCAGATGGCCACTGGCAAACTGCCCAAGTTGGTCGCAGCAAAGGCTTGGCTTAATATGCGCTTTCGAGACCCTTGTGACCGCCAGCCGTAAATGACCTAGGGAGGACCAGGCAATGACGATGGACCGATCAGCTTGTAGGCGAAGGTGTGTCGGAGGCGTGGGAAATGTGGAGGGATGGAGGGGTTTGGCAGTTGGAAGTCGCAGTGGCAGTCGCACCGTGACATTGGAAGGGGAAAGGTCGCAGGCGGGGGCGGGAGGCATCCGGGACTCACCCGCCTTACCTAAGGTACCTTACCTCATCAGGACCTCATCAGGCTTCTCTGGGAACCCCTGCGGTTCGATGGCCATAAAAAAAAAGGCATGATCCGAAAATGTCCCGATTGGCACGTGTTCGCGTCACTCGCCAGGGATCCTCCACGTCAAAGAATCACGTGGCGCTAGCTCTTTCAAAATTCAAAGACACAACATCGTACTTGTGAAAGAACATGCCAAAAACAATAGTCTTGTCCAAGGCATCGTGCAAAAGGCCCGTAAAGCAAAAGAAATGTCCCTGGCAAGGCTCGAACTTGCGACCTTTGGATATCCCTAGATGATCTAGCGTCATATGTACGTAATATGAGACCAACGCTCTACCGACTGAGCCACAGAGACTGGTTGATTGTGGCTGAGCAGAACAGTAAGCAGTTCAAGAAGGGTCGCCAGATGCCAGAGCCGAGCAAGTCGGTCGTTTTACTCTGCAGATTAATCGCTTTTTGTTTGAATTTCCCTTGCTGACACTAAATCCTCTCTCGAATTGATGAAAATCAGCCAAAATGCTCTCCCAGTTGTCGCCGTCTTCGATGTCTCTGGTCGGGCTGACCGGAGCAGGTATTTGTAGGTTGTCAGACCGAAATCATGGAATAGGTAGGCTACAGATAGGCTATGGCAAGGCCAGGGAAGCTGTTCAGGCAAATGTATCCGGTAACAATGACTCAATTTTAGAGATACCGTATCTATATCAACCAAGTAGAATAGATTGTGCAAACTCGCATTTCTTGGCATCTTCTCATCCAGTTCATTTACAGAAAGCGCAGCATCCGGTCGTCGATCAAGCCGCCTCAGTCAGAAGCCACAGTGATAACCGCAAAGATGACCTCAACCTTACCAATATCGTTTTCTATCACTCACATAACCGCCTCCTCGGCCATATTGCATATAGATGGCATCAACTTCATCACAGACCCCGTCTTCTCTCCGGCCGGCAAAGAGTGGGATATGGGCCCAACCGTGCTCAAGAACACCAAAGGCCCGGCCCTAAAGCTCAGAGATCTCCCTGTTATTGACTTCGTGCTTCTAAGTCATGAAGATCACCCGGATAACTTGGACGAACTCGGTCGGCGCCATCTTGACGACCGTAGGGTTCTCACGGCACAGGACGGAGCCCGGAAACTCGCGCCTCGTCCTGGTGTCAAGGTTCTCGAGCCATGAGAAACTAGGGCACTTCTTCTGGGAGGACATAACTTTGAGGTGACTGGGATGCCGCGTCAGAATCTTCCCGGATGTGGAGTAATTGGCTTTGTGGTGAAAGAAGTAACTTTTGGAGAGATAAACGGCCTGCCCAACGTCATTTGCATCTCTAGCGACACAGTCTAACTCGAGGAGATACCCAAAGTATTGGATAGATAACACGTCTTAGTTGCGATCCTCAACGTTGGTGCAGTGGAGGTTGCGGCATCAGACCCTCCTTTGCTGGTTACCATGGATGGGAAACAGGCTGCGCGGCTGTTCCGCGAGATTGGAGCGGATATCCTGGTGCCAATGCATTACGAATTCTGGGAACAATTTGCGGAGAAGGAGGATCAGCTGAGAGTAGTATTTGAACAGGGAGATGTTTCTGACCAGGTGCGATGGCTGGAGCTAGGGGCCGAGATAAAGATATTTCAATGAAATAGTAATAATGCTCCATTGCTACCATCAAGTCTCAAAATCTATGATCTGAAATGGATGTCAGACGTCACTTTTCATGGCGAGAACTGTGTAGCTAGTGATGCTACGAGCCTAGATATCTCAACTACTTGGGTATCATAACAAAGCTCTTTCGCAGAGCCGGGCTGTAGTAACCCTTGTTCTCCTTCTTTGATGTCTGAGAATGAGCGCATACCAAATCAACGCAGCCTACTCCTTATGAGTATTGTCTACCTTGCTTGGAGTCACACCAGTCTCAGCGTCGACAACGCCATGACCCATGTGTGCCGAGTGAACAAGAGAAGGATTCTCGGCCTTGAGCTTAGCAAACTCCTTCTCAGCCTCCCACGCCCAAATGCTGTCGCTGGCAAAGACGAGGTCCATTTCTTCTAAAGTGCGTTGGTTCGACTCGGGGTAAAGGGCCCAAACAACAACGAGGGAGACGAAGTTGACGGCACCAAAGAGGTAAAGTGTCTTTTCGTTGAGCTTCTCGAAGATTGTAGGGAGAAGAAGCACCTAGAAACGATCTCAGCAATTGACAAAATATTGACACGAGGATAATTGCCGTGCACTCACCGTCCATCCGTTTCCTATTGACCATCCAACGACGCCCCATGCATTGCCCTTGGCACGTACTTGGAGAGGGAAGATCTCTGCGGGATACAACCAGGGGACCGTCAACCAAGTCGCACCAAAGACCGCGGTATACAGGAATACGAAGAAGGTTGCGGCACCGCCCAGTCCAGAGCGGTTACCGGGATTAGCGTTTAGAGTTGCTCTTGCCAAGCCTCCAGCACAGAACATGCAGATGCCTTGGGCAACAGCACCCCAGTACAGGGTCCAACGTCTACCGATACGGTCTATAGTAAACACGCAAATCAAGGTTGCAAACTAGATAATTTAAGCTTCTCCGACTATAAAACAGAAAATGGGTGAAGACTTACCATGTAGGTGATGTTGTTCACACCACTGACCCAGAGACGCTGCTCGGAGCTGATGCCGGCAATCGTGAAGATCGTAGGACCGTAAATCGTGATTCCGGCAATGCCCACCCACTCTTGCAGAATTTGAAGCCAGATGACAAGTTGGACACGGCGGCCGGTGTGCAGTTTGCCTGAACCTATCCCGAAAAACATGGCAAAGTAACTCTGCTGTTTGGCGGTGTCGTGCTCCAGGTTCCTGATGCTGATGATTTCCTGCAGCTCTGCCTCTGCAGCCTTTGCATCCTCGCCCTCGTTTCCACGGAGTCTGCCCAAGATGAACCTGGCCTCCTCTTCTCGGCCTACCTTTACGAGCCACCGTGGGGACTCTGGCATGAACCAGATCATAATGAACAGAGCGATGAGAGGGATGATCTGGAAGGCGATGGGGAATCTCCAGATGAAGGATGAATTGGGGTCTTTATACTTGGACGTGCCGCTATCATCTGGTTAGGTGCCAATGATGTTGACTTGGTGTAGCAAACTCACAATTGTAGCCAATATGCAACAACAACGCCAAAGATGTTGAGAGTGAACTCTATGGCAACAAATTTGCCTCTGGATGTATGAGAAGCTACTTCTGTTGCCCAGACTGGAGTGATGGCGTTCAACATGCCGGTGCCGATGCCATTCAAGACTCGTGCTTTAATTGGCAGTCAAGTCAGTGTCTCAACATCAGAATAAAGGTTGGCGACTGTGGCAACTTACCACAAAACATCCAATCCGCATTTTGGGCAGCGGTTTGAAGAGCCGCAGTGCAGATAGACCAGATGCATGCGACGGCAATAGTCTTGAGGCGGCCATATCTATCACCAAACCAGCCTCCAATTAGGCATCCCACAAGCGTTCCGGGAAGGTAGTAAACGGCGACCTTAAAAAGTGTGAGATCAGAAGGCATTCAAAGCGGTTGACCAGATGCTTACGATGCCCCCTTGCAACAATGGTTTATCAACGACAACAATCTTTTGCTGCTCGTCCCAGTGACCAAACCCCATCAATTCAGCATAGTTTCGTGCAGTGTTGACGCCGCCCATCAAACCTGGAAAACCCGTTATCAAACTTGCTGTACAGAAATGGTGGTAAGCATTTCCACTTGCCTTGGTCGTAACCGAAGAAGAACACGCTTAGAGAGGCTACGAAGCACACTGCATTGAGCAACGAGCCCTTGTAGAGCTTGTTTGCGGCACTGTACTTCGCAAGCACACCCGTTGGACTTGGCATTTTGGTCTACTGTCTTGTGTCTTTTCTGCTATGGAAAGATGCGCAAGCACGCTGCCGTCACGTCTGAAACAAAGATCAGCAGAAAGAGTCCAAAGAGGAGGTTGAATTCTGGAGAGGTCATAGAGGTAGTACTTATGTAAGATTTCAATCTAGATTCTTAATTCCGAGGGTCCATTGCATCGTCTTTACCCCCACCCTTCCCTCCTCCAAGTTTCCTCTCCCCACACCCCACGTTTTGAACCGCACGTATCCCATCGACTCTACGGGAACAACAGAACCCGGCGGGTGACATCATTCCAGCATCCTTCCCGGCGCATTTGCACCATACCAACCTCCAACGGCGGCTCCGTACAAGTCTGGTGCCCTCTAAACCGATTCCCGGCAGGCAAAGCACCGAACGACTGCAAAGAAAGCTCGGGGCGTTGGCCGGTTTGTCGCCGAAGCTTGCAGGAAAGCTTACATTGGGGGTGGAGACTTGCATGTTTTTTACCCAACGACTGATCCGCCATGAGAGGGACTGAGCGCAGCGAGCGGCTGTAAACGGGATTATCATTGCTTTTTGTGGCATGATCAAGTGACGTCGAGTGAGGAGCCAACCCCAGGTTACAATCACAGGCCAAGTCCCAACGGACAGAACGCCGCATTGCTCCCTAGCATCGCACGATGCCATCGCCGGCTTTTGCTCTCCATATGCCAGGCCGATGACTCGAACTTACTGTGTAGAATGCCCGGCTACCTTGCATGCTCGTGACAGGGACCCAAGGACTGAGATCTTGAAGGATCGCTCCGCATTGCCCCCGTCTTAATGACTCAGATACTCCCGATGATCGGTCATCTATGCCACCTTCCTCGGGCCTGCTCCGATTCTCCGACTTGTCCCTCCGGGGCCGGCAGCAGCACATGAGTGCCTGAAATTGACCGCGCCTAGTTAATGCCTGCAAGCCTTTGTGTTGGCAATGGTGATGTGCCATTGAGCTTCGCGATGCCAGAGTGAGAGTTGGGTAAGGGAAATGATATAGGCAGTGTACTTTTTGACCATTGGTGGCATCTGTGTGAATTCTCACTAATTCATACAAGTTGTGTATGTCAATTCCCGCCAGGTAGGATGCATTTCTCTTCTAACTTGTTGCCGCGTCAAGGAACAGTGTACAAACGCCCGTTAACATTTCCAGTGCCCAACAGCTCAAGCCCCTTTCCGACATCCTCGAATGGAATCTCTTTCATGAACGGTCTTGTCGACCCTGATGCGATCAAATCCAACACTTCTGTAAACTCTTGAATGCTAGCGCTCGTCGAGCCCTTGAGCGAGACATTCTGCGTGACAATTGCCGTCGTCGTGATTTGCACGCGCTGGGCCGCAAGCCCCACTAACACCACGCACCCACCAGGCCTCACCGAGGATATCGCAGCCTCAACCGTCTTCTGAGCTCCTGCAAAGTCCAAGATGACATCGAATGTTTCGCCCGAGAACGTACTCAAGTCTATGGCACAGTCGACGGCACCAAATTCCTTGGCCTGTTCAAACTTGTCCGTGTTGATATCGACGCCAAAGACTTTAGCACCGCGGTGTGCCGCAATCGCCAGTCCGTTCAATCCTAAACCGCCTAGGCCAATGACAGCAACCGTGTGCGATGCAGATACTCGACCCTCGGCGACGACGGCATGATAGGCAGTAGCAACGGAATCCGTAGCCACAGCAGCTTCGGCAAACCCCACTTGATCTGGAAGCTTGACAAGATTCTTGACGGGGACGACAGCATATTCGGCGTATCCACCGTCGCAGCCGACACCTAGAGCTTCGTGGAAATTTCTTTCTTGGATCGGATGGCCTACACAGGCAACAGCTACCCTGTCACCGACTTTGAATGATGTGGTTGAAGAGTCGCCTAGCTCGGTGATGATACCAGAGACCTCATGGCCCAAAGTCACGGGCAGCGCGCACATCCACGCTGCGCCGCCGCCGTGGAGGACGTGGGTGTCGGAGTGGCAGAGCCCGGCGGCTTTGACGCGGATGAGAGCCTGTTCGGGGCCCGCAGATGGAATGGGGACATCTTGGAGGACAAGGCCCTTGTCGGGGCCGAGGAAACGGAAGGCTTTCATGGTAGGCCGAGCTATTGTGCGCAAGAGAGTATGGAAGCTGAATGGTCCTGTCAATTGTCTTGCTACTTCTTCAAGCATCGCTACAGAGTTCTTTTGTAGATCAACATCCGCGCCACTATCAGACTCAACGGGCATCTTGATACTTCAGACAAAGCAATCGTGAGATTGTCAGTGGATCCGTTGCTGTTGATGTACGATGATTCATGATGAGTTCAAACCTTAAGTTGCGGGATGGCCATATAGGGTAATTTCTTGTCCAGGCCTGCCAGGGCACCCTTGATCAGCCCAGGCTCGTCATTTACCCACCTCAGCCTGGAAGTGGGCAGCTCCGGTGGTAGGAAGTGGTAACAAGGCACACCGGCAGGAGTGGTGCATCTATCTAGGCAGTACGAAGGGTATAAGCTAGGTAGGAACATACAACATTGCCAAAGCCAAGCAGATATCGAAATGACCACAAAAGATCCAGTGGTCAGTGATGCTGGACACCAAGTAATCAATTGCTACCGACATTCCCGAGCTGCCTACCCCTCAATAACACCATAGCTCACAGCATAGTATATCTGTTAGCGATACTTGTGCTGGCATCAATATCAGCATTCAGGGCGTCTCTGAACTCCCCAAGAGACAGACGTCTCTTTGACATGCAAGACTCGATGACTTCAGGGTTTTGTCTAAGCAAGCCCATGTTGACCAGACTGGACGGACCCTCCTGATCAAGTGTCCCCACAGCGCTCGCCCAGTCTTTGGAGGCATCGAATCCATCGTGGCCTCCTTTGCCAGTCGAACCGAAGGAGAACATGATGATCGTTCTGCAGTCGTTACCACTAGCGCTCTCGCAAGCTTCATAGCTCAAGGAGTAGCCTCTGGCAATCAGATGACTGGCAATAGCGGCAACTGCGGCGACGGTGCTCGGGGAGGCGGGGGGGAATGGCCACTCAACAGAGCCAATCCATTCAGCTGTCGCAGCTATTCCGCCATCAGCTGGAGCATCCCAGTCGATAGACTTTGCGAGCCCGGGTAGCTTGTCACTAAGACTTGCGGTTAGCGAAATCTCATTCTTGTCAATAGGGTTTAATAAGGTCTCACATCAGAGATTGCAGCCCATATGAACTCTCAGCTACAGCGTTTACTTCAGTCATGATGAGACTTTGCGGCCGTCGCTTTTGAGCAGCATGCCAGGCTACAATGTCAGCCTGGGTGGCGTTGTACGTCGCTGTAGGTTTCCCATCAACGTCGACATGGATGCTAGCCGTAGGACCGCTGACTGAGGCACAGAATCCAAAGTCCATTTTGCAGGCTCTGATTTCTCTCGCAATGTTCTCGAGATTCAAGTCCTCATCGATGGCATGGTTGAAGATGCCGATGAGGATCTGCGGAGTAAGTGACGAGTGGTGGCTTCCGCTGGTTCCGCCAATTCCATTTCCAAATGACCCATCACGGGCAATCATGGAGGATTGATCCATCATTGATGAGCTGTAAACTAGGTCTTTTGGTAAGTTCAGTTTAGTAAAAGCTCAGGAATAGTGAATGTGTCACTGCTACTAGGGTGGCTGGTTTGGTTCTCACCCCCGGGAAAATGCACGGTTTGGAGATGTAAAACGTCTAGCTTCGGAGAGGAAGGAGACGACACCTCCACTCCATCTGCTGGACAGAATTCGCTTCAGTAAATGTCAAACCCCTGACAGTTTTCCGGGTGCAACAAACAAGTATGATCGGTATCGTTCTTGATCTTGATAGTGAATGTACGATTTCTTTGACAAGCGGAAAGCCAAACGTCCACCTTGACTCCTAGCAAATCTTGCGCATCGCCAACTGGACTGTCAGGACACAATTTAGAGAAATTCCAGACTGCGATATGATCTCCTGGCTGATCGTGATCATTATGGAGGTCAACCACATATGCCGGAGACATGATGGAGGCTTCCATAGGTAGAGGAACTTGTCGGTATAGAGTTGTTGCAGGGTTGAACTCTCGATGGCTCATGAGCGATGACCTGACTGATGCAGACAGAAACCGGAAGGAGCGAAATAGCGGATTATATATACAAACCCTTTTCTGACTGCATCCAGAGTTGAGCTCAAGGAGGAGAGTCCCCCAGAAGACATCCAAACTTCTCCGTCGAGGAGTGCAATTTTGCCAGGCATCCAATGATCCAGCATTCACTCAGCAGGTACGGGCATTTAGGGTGTCGGATCCAAATTCACGGTGAAGACTTTCAACCCCTGACCACATCATATTAAGCCGGGACATGGCATGCTAGCCTGCTTCCAAACTGACAGCATGCCTTATCGACTAGCACCCCAGGTAGGGAGCATTAATTCATCTCTTGAAACAGCATGATTTAAACACAAGCTACTGTATGTCTGGAACAATTTGCAATTCTGACGGGAAACACAACACTGGAAGTGTCGACTCTGAAAATGGCTTGGCGCCCTCGGCCAAAGTAGCAATTCAGCCACGTCAGTCAAAGATGTTGAGTATTAAGATTCAACCTCTCAACGCGATGAGCGTTCGCGTTCGGAAGTTCCTACTCACGGCATTCTACATCTCAGACACAAGCCTGGTGAAGTCGTCATCTCTGGGGCCGAGAAACCATCGAGAGTCTAGCAGTAAGCCAATGGAAATTAGGAGCACGTATAAAGGGTCTTACTGCAGAGCCTGGGGAACAGTCCGTCCAGCCAGATTATGGGAGAAGAAAAAGGGCCGAATCTCCTCCTGGAGTCTCAGGGAGAAAGACGGTTCTGGCGTCTAGCATGTCTCACTAGCTTCCCGAAAAGCAGCACGACGCCGACCAAAGTAGGAGTCTCGATGGCTGTGGCGTGAGCAAGGCTGTATTGAGACGCTAAGGAGACCGGAATTAGGAAAGAACGTTCAACGACGTATGCTTCTATGCTTGGACCCCACAGGGTCGAGGTGGCGCATGGGATGCTCCCGGCCCGGGACCCGGGGAAATGGCACTGGGTAATACTAGGTACCGTAGCCGTGGCGAAACGATGCAGACAACGTTCCTCTTTGTCTCATGGTGCATACGGTTGTAACGAGCTAGCAACTCTTGGTTCAAGCAGTCGATCTCCAACTGGGGCTTTCTCTAAAGTAGGCAGACTTGACTGCGTCGTACTTCTCCTTTTTGCACTTGAATCCGTGCGGCATCGCGATATGGCATAACATCTGTGGCGCTCCTCATACCGCGGAATGCCGTGTTTTTGCGCTGACCTCTCTGCATGTTTGGGTCTTTCGTCATTTGTCACACCCTATTTCAAATACGTTCTACAATGGGCACCCGTACTAAGCGCTTATTCCTGTTTGAGGACAGGTTAATCTTAACTCAGCCCCATGGGGTTTGAAGATTGCCTTTGAGGCTGTGTGTGAAGATTCTGCATTCTAATATTGAAAGAAATGTTGGGCTTAAAGAAATCAATATATGCTGGATCAGCTTTCAGTAGTGAGAGACAACTTTAAGTTTCGGCTCTGGTCGCCATAACATACGCGTGGACGCGCGTGGACATTGTACCTACTTGATACCCACGATCTGGAAGCTTGAACCCATTGAATCTACTTGAAAATCACAGAAGCGAAATTGGCAATGTCTGTGACCAATTCTCAGATAAATGGAATATGGGGGTTGGAAACAAGTCTCAGCTAGTGCTATTGACTCTGGAGGATAAATGACAGCCGGTGCGTCCTTCTGTAGAAGTCTTACTTCCATATCCTTTTGGCGGAAGTACCCTTTGTTACTTTTGTACTCTCTCGAACGGATTGTTTTCTGCGCTGGTACCACAGCTACCGCTGGAATGCCAAGGGCGTGTATCCGAACGTCTGCGGATATTCAGAACTCCAGCCACCATACATTCTGCTAAGGCGCTTCGTGGCAGTTGAACCCAGCACCCAGCTACGTAGGGCTTTCACTTTAGGTATCCTAGACCACGGGTTCAGCCTGAATGACACATGCACTGAGTCATGATGTACATGTCTTGGAAAACTAGCAGCAGAATGCGGCTTTCCGCCTTCTTTGAGGTTCTCACGTTCCTGGCATCCCACTCTCATGCATGGCCAAAGCCATGGTCTCAGCCCTGTATGATCGTGCCCCCAGCCCCATGACTCGGCCTAGGAGACTCAGAATCAAGTGTCAAAGTATCTGTACTGTCAAGATTCATTTATTTTCCAGCCCTGCGGCTGAGACATTTCACGATTTGTCACCGAAGGACCGCCGAAGGTATCGCGCCATGGGCTGACAGGCGTTGAAGGCGTGATATACTTCTGCAAAGGTGCTATCCTGCATTCCACTCTACCCTTTTACGCCAAGCAACAGTCCTAATTTGGGGTAAATTCACCAAAAGTCTTCTGGTTCATCAGAGAGTCTGCTGAAGACCACATTGATGATCATTTTGACAAACATGACACACCTAAGTAGTTAATCGTAGCGCACCAGCGTTAAGCTAGCTAGCTATCCACTACGCTCACCGCGGATTTGACCCTGGAAGAACCATGTGGAGAGCCGTAAGCCAATCAAATGTCCACCTATCACTTTGTTGTCAGATTCTCTGACGCAACGACGGCTGGCTCTTTTCTTTACCCCGCCCTCGAGGACTTTAAACAACAATGGCGACGGAAGCAGAAGCAGTGAGAGAAACCCAAGGGCTGTCTCCTTACCGATACTCTGCGTTACCTGCAGAGAGCTCTATCCGCCTTTTGCAGATCTTCCAGGATAGTTCCTGCGCACAAGGCTTCTTGGCACGACTAGAGACCTACGAGCTTGATGATGCGCCCCCATTTTGGGCACTTTCATACACATGGGGGCCTTCGGAGTTTGATGAGGGGTCGAATGCTTCAGAAAAAACAGAGACGCAGTTTACTCATTTAGTATGCGACGGTGGGCGACTCCGAGTTGGCCAAAATCTTTTCGACTTTCTACGTCAGTTCAAGAATGACATAGCTTTCTACGCAGAAGCATCAGAGCTCGGACGCCAATCCCGTAGAGCTAATCATTCGGATCGTTTGATCTACCCTGAAAATGGCTTTAACCTTTGGGTCGATGCTATTTGCATAGACCAACAAGAGAGCCAAGAAAGATGCCACCAAGTCCAGCTCATGGGTCAAATCTACGAGGCTGCAAGAAGTGTGATTGTCTGGCTCGGCACAATTCAGCCACCCTATGAAGTCTACTGGGTTGTCAGGTGTTTCATACCAAAGATATTGGAAGTGGCCCGGGCCGCAAGCAACGCTGACTTCCTACAACAAATTGGGCCGGAGTTAGATCACCCTGAGATCATACAGTTGCTTGGCAAGGATTTCTGCGATGAGTGGCGCAAGTCATATCCAGTGTATTTCAACTTCTTCCTCAAGAAGCGATGGCTCACGCGTGGATGGGTTGTCCAAGAAGCAGCGATCCCTCATTCTGAGGATATTGTTCTTCAGTGCGGCAGGGTCCAATTCGCCTGGTCTGACATCAACAAACTGTCTGCCTTCATTCTTCGGGTGCGTTGGGATGAGAAGCTCATACACACACTAGGTGAACTCCTCCCGGATTGGAAGAAACGCCCTGGCACGATAGATCGTCTTTGGAACTCGACAAAGACTTCTCTTTCGGCATTCAGACGTGAGAAGGTTAGCAACGGGATGGCTCATTGGCAGAAACAGCGCTGGGGGGCTACCACAGACGAAGCTATGCGCCATGCTGAAGTGCTGCAAACTCTCCACCGGCTAAGGATTTACAACTTCGAAAACCCGCTGGACCATATTTACGGCGCGCTGGGGGTCATACAACGCATCCTGGGTCGCAATTATCAGGTTGAGGTGGACCCAAGTTACGATGTTTCCGTCGAGGTCGTTTATACCCAGGTGACGACTTGGTTGATCAAGCATTTGTCCAATCTCGACATTCTGGGACTAGCAGGCCTGACTGAAGGCCGTCTGCCAAATCTGCCGTCGTGGGTTCCAGACTTCTCATCACATGGTCCTGAACACTATACTTCCCTACAAAGACTGAGGCAGCTGGCACGAGGGTCGGATTTCCCGAGAACATTCGATGCCACCAGCACTGCAGATGGAGCGAGCAGCCAAGGGGCCCGGAGTCATGGTTCCGCTACTCTCATATTGGAGGGGATCCTCATCGACAGGGTCTCAAAGACCCAAAGTTCGGAGTTCGATAGGCAGAATATCTTCAGCAACGCCACATGGCTACGCCATATAAGCAGTCGGCAGAGTGTTTATGAATCAACAGGGGAGAATTTCGTTGATGCAGCCGTGTCGACACTGATTGCAGACGTCAAACTATTCAAAGACTCTCAAGAGAGTCGAAGAGCGTGGGTACAGAAGTGCATAACCTACGATGATAACATGAGCATGGGAGATGGAGATATTGGAAATTCAAGCAAGGTTATGCTGACAGAGACATCAACCCAACATTCTGACATGGCCATTCCCGAAGACTCTTTGTCAGAAAGCTTGATGAAAGATCCCTTGTCAAAGGTGGTTCATTTCATTGCTTCTGGGAGACGGTTATTGGAGACAGACAAGGGCTACCTTGGGCTTGGATCAGCAGCCTCTGAGGTCGGTGATGAAGTTTGGCTTACTCGCGGTAGTCGTATGCCGCTATTGCTGAGGAAAAGCTCAGCCAAGACGAGATACGACGACGATATTAGAGATACGAATGGCGAAAAGTACGTGTTAGTTGGAGAGGCATATGTCCATGGGATCATGTATGGAGAGTTGATGACCGACGACTTCATCTCACGTTGCCAGACAATTTCCGTCATCTGATCAAGATCAGTAGTACTCCCAGCCACCAAGATTACTCCCATGAAACCAGAATGGGTGTCGAAGAGATGTCAGGTTTTGGAGAATCTGACCCTGAAAGCATATAGCCCCAGACATGGTAGACGAGCCCACTAATGTTTCTTTGGGTAACCTCGTGTTCAACATGACAGCCTATACAAACTCATCCTTCCACTTCTCATTCAGTTTCTGGGTGCTATGAGAGCTATCACAGACGATTAGCAATCCTTCGTCTTTCGTTTCTTGTTTTGAGAGACATGGCCCACCAGATTTTGGCTGGTTTGCTTGGATCATCATACAATACATTTCACCCGGGCTAGCATGGCAGTACCCGATAGCTATCCGCACTATCTTGACGCAAGCTCACGTTTCTTTGACATGCCTAGTAGGAAATATAGACAGGCCCGGCTGCAGCTTGGTGCCTCGCCGGAGGTACCTCCGGGCGAAGCTGGTTGTAAAAGCGGTTTGCTTTCCGGCCCGCCTCCGTGCGCGGATCGCCGTCGGGCTGAAAATAACCTCACGCAGAAATTTGACATCACAGCGATCACGCAATGCTACTTGGCTTGAAGGCTACATTTCCTGGGTCACAGCTCGCGGGATGTTTTGCGAATATCAAGCAACCGTACGATGTTATTCTCGTGAGAACGTAACAGACCTAAGGTGTCTTATGCTCTAAAAACTATTTCTTGCGAAGAAAGTCCATTACACCTTTGTGTTTCCAGCCGCACCCCGTGATTCACGTGAGACCGGTCGTTCGTGAATATCCTCAAGCTCGACTTGGAGCACCTTCTGAGCATTCTTCTGAACCTTGTCCTGCACATCTTTGCCCTCGAACATGAAACTCAGCTCTTCAAGGGTGCGGCCTTGAGTCTCGGGGAAGATCATGTAGACCGTCAAGATCTCCACCAAGATCCATACACAATACACAATATAGTACTTCCAGCCGATGGAGTCGAGCGCAATTGGGTTGACGTAGGTGTTGAAGAAAACGGCAAAGCGAACGGTAAGTTGTTCCACCGCGATTCCCTTCGCTCTATATGTGATATTAGCCTCAAAGGTTTCCCTGGAAGTATAGCAAAAACGATGGAAGATCTGGACTGAAGAGAACAGCAAAGCCTTACCTTTGACTGAATGGGAAAAGTTCCACGAGATAAGTGTAGCTGCGTAGGGTTAGTGGTCTGATATTCGGATTCATCCTATGAGACAGGAGAAACGGGAGAGGTAGGGGATATTTACGCAAGAGCATTCCAGCCAATATTGTAGAACCTATGACGAGAAAATAAGCGATTGTCGTTAAGGATAAAATTTAGCGCAATCAACTCACGGCGAATAAACGAATATGAAGACCAGAACTGGGATAGCAGCTTTTTGGGATTGCTCGATGGCGAACCTGGCCGATGCGACGGTCCAGACGGTGTAAACACACGCAGTACCGATTGTACACGTGAGAAACATTTTCCTTCTCGCAAAACGTGGGGCTATTAATGCGATAGGTACGGCGTTGATGAAACCTTCCCAGGCTATTAGCATGAATACCGAAATTCGCCGACAACAAGACGACTCACCCCAGCACGTGTTACCCAAAATGAACTTCTGCACAGTGTGGTTGTCCGTAATACCAACAAGGTTAAGAATTTTCTTCATGTAGAAAGAAATCAATCCGTTGCCAGACCACTGTGTGAAGAAGCCCATGATACCAGCCAACATGAAACGACGACGCATGGCGGCATCACGGAAGACATCGGCCCAGAGAAATTTACTGGCGACCTCTTTCTCTTGCTGGATAGTGGATATGATCTGAGCATACTCAAGACGGACAAATTCTTCGCCGTTCTCCCCCTCACTGTGGTATTTGCTGAGAATTGCGAAAGCCTCGTCGCCACGGTCTTTTGATATCAGCCAGCGGGGCGATTCCGGGCAGAACGGCATAAAGACAATCTGACAACCGCTGGGTACGAGTTGAAGTAGACTAGGAATTCTCCAAGCCCATGTGGTGCTCATTTGGAAAGTGCCGAATGTGATGCCTGCTGCTACGATGGCTCCTGTTCATCATTATACATCAGCAACGTTCTCGGCCTGGGTTCTCGTTTGGTGGGTTTGGATTCCATACCAACAAACCAGCTGGCGTTGAACAGACTTCATAGTTGACAAGTTAGCAAGCCCCATCTCATGATAACAAGGAGCGATTCCAGCTAACCTTGTCATAATTGGACGCTCCTTGGCATAGGAAAGTTCGCCGATGAGCGAGGAAGCGTTGATGATTGCAAATGGGATACCAAAACCCAGAATCCATCGCGAGGCCAAAAACATATCGACGTTCCTGGACCCAGCTTGGAGCCCAGCGCCCAGAACCATGATCCACGATCCCATCAGGATAGTTCGTCGACGACCAAGACGCTGACTGAAGTAAGGGACGAATGGGATGGCCATCAGAGCGCCCAGAGAGTAGATTGCACTAAGAAGGCCAAGCCTTGAAGAATTAGGACGGCCAAAGTCTGATTTCGGATGTATCAGTATTGAATTATCGCGAAGGGCAACGAACACCATGGTGGGGCCTTCTCACATTCGAACCAAGACGAAACAGCTTGGAGACTGTTCATCATGGAAGAATCGAAGCCTGAGGTCCACTCAACTCCGAGCCCGGTTGGGATGAGAATAAGATAGAGGAACCGCAGGTTCGGCTTCTTGTACCAAATCGTCTTGTCATTCTGCGCAATTTGCGACAATTGCGGGTCGACATGATGCTCTTTGGCCCCGATGATGGCCATGATTGCGATTGGATGGATGGCAGGCCAATATGCGCTTAGACAACGAGATGAGCCCAGCTCCAGTCATTCTAAGCCTGGGAATCGTGACGTTCATATACTGGCTGGACGTTGTGCCAGTTCCCTGGCTCTTAGGTTTCTGCGGCGAAGAGGGAAACCCACACCTGTTCCAGTCGATCGACTCCAATAAAGATGGCGAGACATCAGGCCATCGAATCATGGTTCACGGTTTCTCGTTAGGGTCGGTTCATAATTTGCTGCCCACCCACAAAGAACCCAAACTTCGCGTGCGGGGTTGCTGTCCGGGCGGGTAGGGAATCCGATCTCAAAATCCGGGGTAAGAATGACCGAGGCAGCGCCGAAAAACAAGGGTCTCCGGGACTTTGAGGTGCCTTTGCCGGAGATTTATGTTGCCGTCTACCACTTTTGTCCACAAAATCATGTCATCCATCAACGAGACGTAAGACGAGATACAGGCTGTATCCAGCATGTACGTTACAAAGGCACTCGGAAGACGTCTGACGAACCACTCTGGTCCAATCTTGTTGTCTGCCAGCCAAAGCTAAGGGTGTGGTGCACCAATAACGAGCCAATCTTGGCGGACACACTCCGCTCCACGTGCTGTGAATCCATCGTGGGTGGGCAATGGCACCTCCATGTTTGCCCGGCCAGATTGCGTCTAGATATCCTTCCAATCTACTCGACCTTGATGCAACGCAGTACTCCAGTCAACACTGGCACCGACGTCTGAATTGCATTTCTTAAGCGAATGAATGAGATGTGACAGGCCAGCATCGGCTTCTATTTGAGATTGACCGGGAGTAGGTTAACTCTTTTGGAGGGGAAAGCATATTATATTCTCACATCACTTTTGACAGCAAAAAATAGCAATATTTTCAATCAGCGAATGCTGGAATGTACCACTTCTCTTTGAATAAAGTACCGTAAGACACGTATTCGACCACCCAACTTCGTCTCCAACAGACAGGATACGCTGCGACTTTGTTTCTTTTTGTTTTTAGCTCAAGTACACTACCATTCAAAGCTACGGACATATCTCTGGTAGGGGGTCTGATTGAGGACTCAGGTTGCAAATGCCGTCATGAAATCAATTATAGCATCCAAGAAAGCCTTGGCGAGGTCCTCGTCAAGACGTCCATTGTTGTAACAGACAGAAAGACCAGTTTGGCCCTTGAAACTGTCCATTCGAACAAGCCTATATTCTAAATAGTTAGTGACAATCGTTGGGACTGAAGATATCACACGCATGAACCAGCTGTGCTCTATGGATGACAGATCAAACGAAGCCAGGAATCATGACTGTGGTCTTCTTACACATCAGAGGAATAAGTCGTCAGGTGTAAATTGCAACTTTCCACTGTGAAGATCTTTTCATTGCTGGAGCCGAAAACGTCCCCTGGAATGTAGTTGTCGACTATGCCATCGCTGACGAAGACCTTTACGTTGCAAGACGTGTTAGAAATGCACCAAGGGTTGATTCGATGAAGGCTGTCAATGTTTGGGACTTCGTACCGGAAAGCTTGTCGGTGAGAAGGACGAAGGCGCTCTAAGCAGAAGAGTTTCAGAACCAGGGAAACATTGAAATTGAAACGGGGGAGGGAGATTACTCACGATGCTAGAAACCCCGCTAGAAAGTTGCTCTTAGCTTGGTCTATGACTAATTGGAACTCGTTCTTCAGCCAGTGCTCATAGCTGTTTCTAACATGATGAGCGAGTCTTGCGAGTGTCAGTCTAGCTACTTCAGGATTTCCCTCATCGATGGCGAACGATCGAAGAGATGCAAATTCTACCGACGCGCCAGCCTGACACGACCCATAGCGAATACTTGCATTGCTGCCACTCAAGTATCGCCTTCCGTTGACTGGCAAGGGCGAGGAAAGAAACAGGGCGTCCGAGGCATCTCCTAGTGAGGGGCTGACTCGCAGTAATGCAAGCACCATGGCGGCATGACCGAGGTGAGTGATGGTGAACTGGGGTCCGAGTTGACTCTTTATGGCCTTCGAGATGGCCTGACTTTCGTCTGTATCAAAGGTTCTCCATATAGTTCGAGGTGTGCCTACAGTATTCATGGCAGGGAGCCCCCAACTTGTCTCCAAGGAGTTAGTGACCACGGAAACGATGTTCGCTTGGGACGGGCAGTGGATGGTCAAGCCGCCAAGAATATGCAGAACTACTCACCGCACTTTTCAGCAACTCGGTCATGAATTCATCTCGCGTCTTGTCATAATCTTCTCCCAATGCATTTACGTTGGTCTTGCATGCGTCGAGGACCGGCTCGTTGAGGTTGGCGATTTCCTTGCCCCAAGGATGATGGAAAGTACTTTTTGCTAGATTCTGGTCGCCAGTGTTGAACTTTTGGCCAACACCGCGCAACAAGTCACCGACGAATATGCGCGAGCTGATGCTGTCCCAGTGGATGTGATTGAATGCACAGAGCACGTCTAATCGAGTGTCAATTTCAAGTGGGGTACCTGTCTCTGGCACTTGAGCTACAACATAGACTTTGACCGGGGGTAACGGCTCAGGTTTCTCTTGGCGCGCCTCTGAAAGTTCAGCGGCAACTTCAAGCCCAGTTTTATCCGTTGCAATTGATGAAACAAGACTGCGGCCCCAATCCAAGGCAACTTCGTCAGAGCTCGGTAAAGTATAGACGATGAAGGGAGGATCTTGGTCGGTAGTCCAGATGACGGAGCATCCGACCTCAGGGTGTTGAAATCGAATGTTGACAAGGGCGTTGGAGATTCGCAGCGCGATAGTCTCTAACGAGATCCCAGGAACATGAATTCGGAGAGACGTGTTTAGGTAGTTGTCGTACTGACCACGAGAGTTCGGCCCTCGTAAGCCGACCCAAGCCTCGGTGCCGATAGCGAGGCGCCTGACAGAGCCGGAGTCGCCTGGAGAAGGATACCAGCGGAATTTAGCCGGCTCTAGACGAGGTAAGGGTGGGAGAGACATGATAGTGTCAGCTTAACAGCTAAAGTCTGAGTTGTATTATGTATTTAAGAGAGAAGGCGGTATGGCGGCGGAAGAACAAACAATTAGGAAGAGTTAGCTAGTAATGTTTCCAAGCCTTCGAGGCGAGGTAGGATGGACGTTGATGTGGGGGACAGGTGTCAGCTTCATGTCTGAACGTAATCAAGATAAGCGAAGTTCAAGCTGTCATCTCTTGCCCGAGTCTGACAATTTGACGCTAGGTTCTTCGGGATACAGCCGAACAAAGCTTAGCGCTGATTGCGTCGACGCACAACAAACAGCTTAGAAGTTATCTCCAGCCCGCCTATTGTCCATAGTCGCCATCGGAAAGCACATGCGAAAGCACAATCTCTGAGCAACGGTTGTAGATAGCTACTGGGCGTTCCATTTGGATAAGTCTAGAGCCACCTATTCATTTGAGCCCTCACAGTACCGTGTCCATTATCAGAACGATATTGTGGAGTGGAAGATTCCTTCTCTTCATCATATTACTTACGTCACGTAACTAATTTTTACTCCGGCCATTCTTCTGTCCTGGTAGAGACGACACCTCGAAGGTCATGTCCTTGCGAATGCCTCGTACAGGCGCTGTGCTTCCTTTCTCCGAGACGCTGTCTTCATCGAGACGCGTCCAGTCTCCCTGCCCTGCTTCGTCGTCCTCGTAATTTGTGCCTTTGCGTATCTTGCTCTTCGACGTCACTCCCGAGCCGCCAATAGTAACAAGCCCAACCGACCCCGGGTGGAGGCCATGAGACGCATCTGTTTGACCCAAAGTTGTAGGTCGTGGCGAGCGACGGTGCATGAAGAATTGTCGTAAAGCAGGGAGGGAGCCGGCGATGAATCCGATGGCAGTCTCGATGTTAGACCAAAGGGGGATATTAGCGATATGGACTGTTGAACGATTCAAGTCAGCAACTACTCTACTCATGGCAGACAAATGTAAGCATCATACAGGCAAGATCGTCTAGTGGGTGGTTGTAGTGATCGATGTATGGAGTGCGTATCATGGTTGAGACTGAAGCACTAATCATGTGACCGAAGCGGTAGGAATTAGCTATCAAGATCATCTCAGGTAGGTGCACTAGGCAGAATACTTACAAAGAGCCGAAAGACAGAACGAAAGAGACCATGATCTTTGTCGGGAGCTTCATTTGTGTCTGCCAGAGAATGATAGCCGGGAGCACGGCACAGGCAAGGTCGGTGACGATGGTGCTGACGGTTGAAGTATATGACAGCGCCAGCATTGAGCTTACTGGCGAGCACTCGCCACGGCCCTCTAATACGATGCTGCTATCCCAATTGGCTTCCACAGGTCGGCATAATAAGAGGATCCCGACGAATGTCGTGAAGAATGTGGCGACAGTAAGCCCCATCAAGATGTAGACGGCAGTGCGTAGCTTTGGCATTGTAGTAGCGATCCGTAGTGTGGTGATGCAAATCGAAGTTTTGATCGTACACAATACTGCCACGTAGAGCATCATCCAAATCATCAAGTATTTCATCGATTCGACCAACATGACTGGGCTAAGGTCTGCATTGCGCGTGCCCAGTCCACTTAGCGCGCCCATGCAGGCGAGTGCAACATCGACGAGGTAAACGACCTGGAAACCTAAGTCAGCCTGAGCTTTATAGGGAAATCAATGCTCTAAAGCTCTACGAGAAGTTTTTAAGAAGGTTTCAGCTTACCAAACCACCGAGCATCAAGCCGTCATCCCAACTAAACGTCTTTGCCCGCAGTCGAATGAATGTCCTCAGGCACACCACAATCAAAGAGACGACGCCACCAACAATGGAGACCACGAATAGACTGAGGCCAACGCCCTCAAGTTGGTAGACAAACCGTCGATTAGGATCCTCTGTTGCCATGTTGACTCCAGAATAGCTCTGTCTCACAGTCTTGGCTCTTAGGTTGCGATGGGCTTCGCCGGGGACAGCAAGTCAACAAAACAAGTGACTAGTGGACGATCGTGTAGTTGCCGACGAGAAAAAGCCCAACGTCGAGACGAACAAACTACTCCACTGAAGTGAGCAAAAGTCGATTCTCGCTAGACCTATCGTTAACAGATAGGCGGACATACAAGACGGGTTATATGGCAGCGCTCTTCAACGCACGTTGCCAGCCAATGTCACCCATTTCGCGCCGATCACTGGCAGAAAAACTCCTAGCTACTTTTCAATCGAGATATTAGGCGTCGCTAAGATCCTTGAAATATCCTTGAGCAATTGCACATCCTTGAAAAACCTCCTACTCGCAGGGAAGAGTGCCTTTCGCCTCGACAGAACCAGGGGTTCTACAGGTTGGATGAATTTTGGTAATACTAAGCACGATCATAAAATCCCAAAGAGGTGACTGAAAATGGAGTTGTGAGGCAATTCTTGGTAAAATGACCAGGTAACGTATGTTTGACCCGTTTGCCGGATTTCCGGCTCCGCTGGGTGGGACAATCAAGGACATTTATTATATGCCACGCCGTGGCGCACGTGTGCGGATGAGCTTTATGGCATGATGTAGCTTTGGCAGTGAACTCTACCCAAGATAGACTGCAACATCAAAGGTCAATGTTGCTGATCTCACCTAAGAAATTCATCCCTTGGTTGCCATTGTAATTGCTACGGCCTACGGCCTCATGCATCCTCGACTGTAGACCACCTCAGAACACCGACGGTCATGGCTTCGCCCCTTCTCGGTCCCACATCACCCATCATGCAGGCCATGAAGACTCGACGCCACCTCGACCAATGCTTTCGTTGGATCTCAACAGTGGAGCAAGTGGACGAATTCGTTAACAAAACAGTCCCTGCTTATGAGGCTCGAAATGGTCTAGGGCGTTTGCTGAAGATCCAGAAATGGCGAGAGAGAAGACGGTCTGACAGGTTGACAGGCACCACGCTGCTGCTGTCACATTTTCTCCTATTTTCCTTAATAACCATGCTCCCCAGACCCCATGGTATGATTCGGTTAAAACTTGCCTGAAAATCGAACAAAGAGTGAACTCACTTTAGCACAAACAACACGTTGTACTCTCCGTTAGACAAAAATGACTAAATCACAGATCACCGTTCCCATTACTCAGGCCCCTCCGTACAAAGTCCACGAGGGCAAGACGGCCGTCATTACGGGTGGTGCAAGGAGTGAGCCTTCTTCCCGTTTTCTTCTGGGATTCCTAGGAACACCTACGCTGACAAAAGTCCAAAGGTATCGGTGCCGCCATTGCTCAGAACCTCGCCTCCAAAGGCGCCAATGTCGTGCTCATTTATCTGACCGAATCTTCTGACGAGCCTGCCAAAGCTCTCGCTGGGCAACTGTCAAAGGCACACAACGTCAAGGCTGTTCCCGTCCGTGCCGACTTCAGTACACCCGATGGCTGCTCCAAGATCGTCGATGTTGTAAAGAATGACATGCCGCCCAACGCCAAGACAGGCAAGCCGCAGGTCGACATACTGGTCAACTGCGCCGCTCTCTTCCACGCCATGCCTCTCGAAGCCGTCAACATTGAGGACTTCCACAAGGTCTACTCTATCAACGTCCTTGGACCCATCCTGCTCACGCAGGCAGTCAAGCCCCTTCTGCCTACCGACCGCTCGGGCCGCATCGTCAATGTGTCAAGCGTCGGTTCCAAGGTTGGACTCGAGTACCTGACCCTGTACGGCGGCAGCAAGGGCGCCCTTGAGGCCATGACGCGCACATGGGCTCGCGAGCTCAAGGAGCACTGCACCGTCAACTCTTGCAACCCCAGCTCCACCATGACGGACATGCTCCGAGGTGCCTCTGAGGATGCGAAGCAAGCCATCTCATCGTGGTACCCTCTCACGCCGCTGTGCGGAATCCGAGAATGGGACTCGGATGAACAGAAGGAAATGGCTGAGAAATACGGCGGACGTGCTGGCTACGCTGAGGAGATTGCTGGCATTGTTGGCATGATTTGCTCCCCGGAGAGCGGATGGATGACGGGATGCCTGGTCAGTGCCAACGGCGGCCAGTGGATGGCTAGTTAAATGTCTTGAGTTGAAGCAGAAATTTTCCTTGTCAACACCCAACGTTTAGTTCCACCGGCATATGACTTCCACCTGTTGGTGGTGCGCACTCTGAAAGCCCAGCGCGTGCTGCCTCGCACCGCAGAAGACTTCTTCAATCAGCCACGGACCACGTAAGAACCCCACGCACGAAACCATCCTATGCAGGGGCTCTTCAGACCCTGGAAACAACAAGCGATGTTGTTTGTGAAGAGGAGTCAAGGCTCTGATAGGTTGTCGATGGGAGGGAATTGGGGTCCGCTAGCAGTCGCTGGGGCTGACTCCAGGTTTAAGAACATTTTCAACGTGGCACCGTTGGGACCAAGCTTCAACACCTGAACGGCTCGAAGACACTCCCGAGTGCGAGCCAATTGGCGGTCAGAAAAGCAGATTATAAAAGGGGCAATTCTTGTGTGGACTCATGGCCACAAGTCACCCCATTGAAATGGCAAGGCCCCACGGACGTTAGCGTCCTTACAATCCCAAGAATAAACCGAGCCAGTCACATTCTGGCCTGATACGATTAGAGGACGGCACATCACCGTTATCGGCATTGATGCTGGATTCGAGGTGGCATCAAGCAAGTCCGTCTCAATGGCCTTGCTCTAGAGAATTGGCCCGGATTTTCGTAGGTATTTTATCCGTACCTACGGGTGAAATGTAGATCACAAGAATCTCAAGCCAGAGGTGCCTTTTTTCCTCAACTAGTGTTCAGCATAGACCGGCGTTTAGTAGTGTAAAGTACCAACGGAACGGTCCGGTGGGGCGGCATCTTGGGCGCTCATTTCGGGGATACGAAGGTGTTCCCGCAACAATGTAACCCGAATCCACCACCCATGACAAACTAATCCAAGAATGTTATCCAACGACTTGTCAAATCGCTCCAAGCGGTCTCCGACTGTCGAGGAACGGCGGAACGAAATGTGTTGAGCAATGAGAGTCAAACTCTTGCAAAGCCGTGAGCAATGTGGTTGTCACTGGTAGCATCACAGGAACAATTATGGTTTGTCCGAGAACATAGTGTTCAGTGACCATCATCCTCGGACGAAAATCAGATGGATACCTTGCAGTGTTATCGGCGCCCGGATTAATGTAGGCAGCTCAAGTCTCAACTCCACAGCTTCTCTCAAATCTTGTCGGGTTTCATCCGGGAAACATTCATTGAGTAAAATATGCAGAGAGTCAGCTACGACTCGTCCGTGACACAGCTGTCTGTTGACTGGGAAGTTTCGGCTTGCTTTATCAGATCTTGATGTACTTAATTGATATATCGCAACGCCACGCGTGGCGCTACCCACTTATTGCCGTACGAGACCGCTTACTACTAGATGGCTGTCCGCTCCGTACGGTATTCAGATATGACCCCTTAAGGGTCCCTCACTTAGAAGATTCAAGTCACTTTCTACTGTATATGTCTTCCACATGGATCTTCACTTTGTAACATGATGTACCTAGGCTACGTGGTAATAAACTTAGACATCATTAGACGTTGCCGTACTGAACGACCTCTTATGATAGACAGCAACTCGCATTGATTTCTTCACAGTTAGAGCATATTCAGCACTTGGCGAAGCCATCCACCATTATGTTGTCTCTATCAAAGCTATAATCCGCATAAATGAAGGTCAAACTATGTCAAAAGAAGGGACGAATAGTGTACATCATTGAGCTCGACTGCTATTGGCATATCTCAGTCAAAATGCCCAGCATCATGTTAGTCGGTAACCTTTGATGTAAACAATGATTCTCGCTTCGTAACAAGTAAACACGACGCGAATGGACGTAATAAGACCTGAAAGTCAGGCATTTGAAGATATGATATCTTGAGCTCCCCTACTTGTTTCATGTTTGAACACGTAGGTAGTTGGAACTGGAAACATGTGCTGGTAATGTGTGGCTGTGTCAAAAAGACAAAGTACTTTATGGTACTCATCAAGCCGCCGACAATGGAGCAGACTCAAATTATATACAAAGCTTTGAACCTCTCAAGTTATACCGAGTCTTCAACAAACTCTAGGATCCGTACTGGTGATGCTTGATCCCAGTCAGAGTGGCATCGCAAGTTCCGCGTGATGACTTCCATCATACCGTCCCTCTACCATCCACAAGCCTTCTTCTGAATTGACACATTGGAGACAAGCAAACGCTGTGCAGTGGTATTTGATCAGGTCCGACGACAGCTCCCAAAAGCCCCCGAATTCGAATAGACATAGTCGAAGTAGCCGCGACATAGATTGTTTTTCTCTCCCACACGTCTAGCATAACGTCCTGTTGGCTTCGAAAATGATCACCGCCTGAAATATTTCTGTCTCGTGTGGTTTTCAATCATGCGGGTTCCGTGAGTACTCCTACCTAGTTTACCAAAGGTATTTGTTATGGACCTAAGTACCTTATTTTAAGGAACCACAATGTATAGGCACCAGCCTTCACTGGGCACAGTCTTTCTAAGACACCTCACAGTTTTGAAAGATACAGATCATAAACATTGTGCTTAGTCTCCTACATGGTTATTTGTAAATTCGAGGCATGTATTCCTGATGTCCTCCAATCAGATCGTATGTCTGGATGCTAAAACATCTTACAAAATAGAAAATTATGGGCTGGAGGCAACCCCCGCAGTCATCGCATCATTCTCCCATCGAGGCAATCGCACTTACTACAACTATCGGTGGCGACTCATTCTCATGTTATAGGGACAGGAAGAAAAGAGAATATTCATTGGCACTAAGTAGATATTGTCAATAGTCTGCTCTACAGGACTGGATAATGCCAGCACTCGCGTCCATGCAGTCAAGATTGCATTACGTAGCATCCAATAGTGAGAGAAGAAAGAAAACAGATCTATACAGGTATGATCTATATGCCACCGAATGCATCATGCCTCGCATTTCCTTTAGATGCGGAAAAGTCTGAACTGCTATCAAAGTGGCCCTTCATCTAGCCATTTCATCCAGCTGATAGTCTCACCTAGACTAGACAGTCATTGCCTCTGTCACGTCTAATTTACTGTCGGGACAGATTACGTGAGGTTGTGTGAGAATCCGAGAAAGACATGCTGCGATACACCCGAGTAAAAGGCCATCAATGTAGCAGACTGGCAGTGAGCGGCGATACGGCGTGTTTTCGTTCGACTTGTGGTCCATATCAGCTTTATATTGTTCCTCTTAGCATTGAAAATCTTTAGAAAAATACCTGAAGTATCCATGAATGCTATTGAGTTATAATGCATGTTTGTTGATAGACGAGGTGATCTGCGGTGATGTTAGTCTTGTGGGCTTTTGAAGTTCATGACTGCGATATCTATATCCAACACGTTTCCATTACACATTTAGGCAAATTTGAGGTGCGGCGAATCGTATTAGTTCCATAACTGATAACGCGCACCCCAGCTATTAAATGCAAGCAGGACGTTTTTACACGAGACTCACGGAACCTTCTCTTCCATCCAAATCTATTTGCACGAACTTTGCGAATTTCCACGTCAATGACTTCTATCAAGAGACTGTACATCTACACAACGTATTTATGAGGTCAGAAGGAATGTTTCCGAGTAAGCGTAAGGGATGAAGTGAGTCAGTTAGAAGGGAAACGCTGCCAAGGTAATCGAATATCCCTTAGCTGTAACTTTGAACAAAGAACTTTAGAACCATCGTTGCAGTGATCAATTACCCGAAATACAACATTTTCCAGCCAAAACCTCGACATTGTTCATTCATAAATCCCACGTTGGAGCAATAATAGAGATGCGGCCCTGTCGTCTTCTCGTTAATCTCTCATATTCGAATCTCGAAGCGAAATACCAAGGAGGCTCGGGGCTCTTAGGCTGATCAGATTTCATCGAGAACTTCAAATAGTACGCCCATCAACTCCATGTCAACAATCTTTGGCGGAAGCCTTCATGTCTCAAGCCTGTCAATTCGTATAATGAGACGAAAGGGGTTTTGATTGCTATCTTTTGGCGCTTTAAAGTTATCTCTAAATTTACACGTTGAATCCAGGCAAAATACGCGGAAGTAGGTCAAGACTTGCGAGGTGGGCGAGCAAGAATTTGATTCCAGACATTTCGATATCCCCAAGCCTCCAGAGTGTTCGCATACCCGAGTTACTTGACAGTAGTGTTGGATTGTGTATGGAGAGAGTGCTTTGAGTATGTTTTGGCTTTCTAATACAATAAAGGTCACGTTTTGACGTGTGACAGATGGTCTCGCATTATTATTGTGTTTGAGTTTCGGTCGATGGGAAATGCGCCATTCGTCAAGGAGACGAACGGAGAGTGAACATACCATGTCTAGTCTACTGGGTCCATCGTGTTTGCTGCAAAAGCGACCGATGCTCTGCAAGAGAGTGAACGGCCCAACACGGGATGCTTGCTCATGTCCAGACCAAAGAGAATCACAAAATCAAGCCTGGATCCCAAGTTTATAGTGATGCTGACAACTAGCATACCTGCTCGAAGAAACAATGGAAACCGCGAGCTGTTTCAGCCATTAAGTCAAACCCCCCACTTCCCGGCACCCCCCTGTTTCTGGCACCCACAAAAACGCGAAAATCCACCACAACGCAATGCCCACCCCCAACCTCCTTTTATCACAACATTTTCAATTCGAGTCCAAATGGGCTCATTTTTTGCACATACCTTCTTCTATATCTAATGCCTCAATATACCGAAGATCAGCTTCGTCAGGCTCTCGAGGACATCTCAAACGGCAAGAGTCAAAAGAGAGCCTCATTGGAGTATGGGATACCACGATCAACCCTCCAACTACGTCTCCAAGGTGGTCAGACGAAAGTGGCTTTTGCTGACTGGCAGAGGCTGTCTCCTGACCAGGAGAGTAAGCTGGCACAATGGGTTCGCATTCAGGCTTCGCTGGGCCTCGCACCAACGCACCAACAGGTGAAGGAATTCGCAGAGCGAGTTCTGGCTGCTGCTGGGGATACCAAACCATTAGGAAAAGGCTGGATCTATGCCTTCGTGAGAAGGAACCCTATCATTAAGGTTCAGAGAAGTCGTTCCATCGATTCTAGACGCGTTAATGGGGCATCTACTGAGGTCATTAGGAACTGGTTTAAGTTCCTTGCTATCCCTGAGATCAAGGACATCAAACCAGCCAACAGATATAATATGGATGAGACTGGCATCCTCGAGGGTCAGGGAGCTAATGGGTTAGTGCTGGGCATGGCTGAGACGACGTCTGTTCGCAAGAAACAACCTGGGTCGAGGGCATGGGTCTCTATCATTGAGTGTATCTCAGCCTTGGGTAGGGCACTTCGTCCTCTTATCATTTTCAAGGAAGACGGTCCAACAACAGTGGTTTCCATTACATCTGGTTCCATACGATGGGTGGGAGTTTACAGCAACAGATAATGGCTGGACTACAGACTTAACTGCCATTGAATGGTTAGA